AGAACGACAAATGGCTCGACCTGATTGGGCTTGAGGTCTGGTCTGTGAGTATTGAGATTGCAGCTGGACCTGCGATCGGGTAGCCCCCTTCTCATTCTGCACTGCACTGCACTATGGCACTTGGCCACCCCTGGTCTTCGACTTTCTCGGATACCTCACAATGCGAAGGACCGCGCCACGGCGGACGGCAGATCACCCTTGCCTTGTGTCCCCGGCCGCGGACTAAGCAGAGGCGAGTGCCTCTGTCTCTTCCATATATATCATGATCGTCCTCTGCCTGTTCAACCAAACTTCTGGAGAGGACACCAGCTCACTTATCCTACCTGGATCTCAGTCTTAGATCCTATCCATTCACTCGTTATAGTTTCTTTCGTCTTGCAGCTGCCCACAATGTCAGTATTACGCTACCTTTTCCCGACCCTGGCCCTGGCGCTGGGAGCCATCGCCGAGTCCCGCAACTTCGAGCTGGACCTTACTTGGGAGACTGCCTCCCCCGATGGATTCGCAAGGAAGATGATTCTGGTGAATGGCCAGTTCACTGGACCTAGGATTGAGATCACCGAGGGAGACGATGTTACCATCAAGGTCCAGAACAACCTCCCATACCCTACCACCGTACACTACCATGGTAAGTCTCCACGCATACCCGTCTTGATGACGGCTCATGACTGACCCTCACGTCAGGTATTGAGATGTTGAACACCCCCTGGTCCGATGGTGTCCCTGGCGTTACCCAGCGGCCCATCCAGCCCGGCGGCAGCTTCGAATACAAGTGGAAGGCTACCCAATACGGCGCCTACTGGTACCATGCCCACTACGAGGGCCTCATCGAGGACGGTCTCTACGGCGCCATTACCGTCCACCCTTCCGCCTCCCACCAGAAGCCCTTCAGCCTGATCTCCAGTGATGGTGCTGCGATTAACGCCATGGAGAAGGCCGAGAAGAAGGTTGTTCCTCTCGTCCTTTCCGACCACCGCCACATGATCTCCGAGGAGGCCAACAAGGCGTCTGCGGCTGCCAACATCCAGTTCTCCTGCTACGACTCCTTCCTTTTCAACGGAAAGGGTAGCGTTCAGTGCCGTACTCCCGAGGAAATTGATGCCCTCTTGACTCAGGAGAGAAAGGATGTGTTGGCCAACGTTGCCGGTGCCAGAATGACCGACAAGGCGTAAGTGAAACCATAAAGATCTGTAGTGATTTTCGACTAACATGTTTTAGCTGCATTCCCGCTGCTATCGTTGCCCGTGGCCAGGGAGATCTGAGCAAGGTTCCTCCTGGTGTTTTCGATGGCTGCCAGCCCAGTGATGGTGGCCAGGAGACCTTCAAGGTCGAGAAGAGCAACTGTGACACTGAGAAGTGGGTTGCTTTCGACATCATTGGTGCTTACCACCTGCACACCGCCATGTTCTCCATTGACAACCACTCCATGTGGGTTTACGCGATGGACGGCGCCTACGTCCTTCCCCAAGAGGTCGAGGCCATTCCCGTCACCAACGGCGACCGCTACTCTGTCCTCGTCAAGTACAAGCAGCAGGGTGACTTCACCATCCGCTCCGCCTCCGTTATCGCTACTCAGATGCTCAGCGGTACTGCTCTCCTCCAGTGGCGCGAGAAGGGCCAGCCCGAGCCTCAGGTCGTTCCCTCCGCTCCCTGGGTCCGCGACAACGGCCAGCCGGTCTCTCGCGACGTCCGCGTCTTCCGCCAGGCCCTCGCTAAGCCCTACCCGCCCATCAGCATCCCCAAAAACGGCGACGTCCTGCACAAGCTCGTGATGCACACCTCCGGCGGCTCCTACTACTGGGCCTTGAACGAGACCGTCCTTCTCCCCGCGGATTATGAGAACGATGTCCCTGTTCTCTTCGGTGTCCAGGCCGAGGAGAACGACCCCACCATTCTCTCCACCAAGAACGGCACCTGGGTCGATTTGGTCTTCCAGGTCGCCAACTCGCCGCAGCCCCTCACCCCATCCACAAGCACGGTAACAAGATGTTCCTGCTCGGCTCTGGCACCGGTAACTTCACCTGGAACTCGATCGAGGAGGCTGTTGCCGCCAACAGCACTGGCTGGAACCTGAACGATCCCCCTCGCAGGGATGGCTTCGCGACCCCCAACGCCATCAGCCAGCCTACGTGGATGGCCGTGCGGTACCTTGTTGATAACCCCGGCCCCTGGTTGCTCCACTGCCACATCCAGAGTCACATCATGGGTGGTATGGCTGTCATCATTCAGGATGGTATTGACTCCTGGCCCGTTACGCCGCAAGAGTACGTCAAGTACGACGGCTAAACAAACATAAGGCGTGGATGTCCAAAGCATATAGAAACCCGGAAAATATTACCTTAATCGGTGTAATTTGGGAAACCTAACTAGAGATGGGCACGGCACGGCGCGGGCGGCATTTGCGTGCGATTGTTATTCACGACCAAATCTGGTTTGCTACTTTTCCTTTTTCGCGCGGCATTTTTTGGACAAAATCTCTTATCTTTCCTGACTGTCACATATTCAGAATACATGCAGTAATCATTGAATTGATAATGAACATTTACACCACTTCTCATGTCCCCTCAGTGGCTTAGTCTCGGTGACGCCTGTGTGTCTCACCATTCTTGTCTTGGACTACTTGACGCGTCAAAGTCATGTGGAAATGCATTGCTGTGAACACCATCCTGAGGCTGTACAACGACACAACCTCTAATCTCAGTCCTTACTATTTCAGAGGGCTCGAAAGATTCACATATAGTATCCTGCCTCACCGTTATTCCTGCCTCGTCGCACAACATGCCGTGACACATGCGGCAGCGGCAAAGTCGTGCCATCTAGGAGTGTTTCTCCCCCTTCATGAACCAGCTCAGAGCGGCATGCCGCGCTTCCGAGTTGCAGCAACAACGACGAGGCAAGGTTGCGCAGCATCGAGGCCCCGCGCGATGATCAACCTGTTGGTGGAGGTCCAAAGACATTGTCACTACGTGCATGCATATGCATGCAGGTGTGCGCGTCCAGAGTTCATCCATTTTCTTCCCCTTCAATCTCTCTGATGTGCAGTGATTTCGCTCCCTTGCTATATGTTCCTTTTTCCTGTGGCTTCTCCTATTCTCTCCGTGATGGTGGAAGATGCTAGCGAGTCTCGGCAACCCGCCTAGCTAGTGTTGATCTGAGATGTCTCTCGCTTACCAAATGCAGTTGGGCTCAGCCCGCAGGAGGATCTGAGGGCTGACGGATATTCTCCGCTGAGCGTCTAATCTGATGGGCACTTTGAAAATACCTATGCGGTTCGCCTGAGTGTGACGAGAGACAATAGAGATAAGGGAGAGAGGAACAAGACGGGCGGAAAAAGAAAGTGCGGGGGTGGCTGTCTCAACGAAATGGAGGTAGCGAAAGTGAACGAGTACCGGAAAGATGGAGGTGCATATGCACATCTGCAAGCCACTTCATACCAATTTTGCATTATTCCCTCTTGTCCAAAGAAATCGACCAACATCAGATCTAATCTCCCCGAACCCAAGGGGGGGCGGACGGAATCTTTTTGGGTCTGCACTATGTAAAGTGCAGTCTCAACTTCGTCTCGACCCAAACGGCCGTTGCACGCTGGGCGTTCGTATTTGAGATTTTACAGGCGTATGACGCCGAGTGCCGTGGCGAGTGGTGTGGTTTCTTCCCGTCTCGGCATTGGTTCGACCCTAATGTAAGGAGGGAATAGCTTTGTGGACAGGGACCGGTGTGGCCTCTCTTTCCTTAGTGCCTTTTGATGTGAAGGGTGGAGGCGTTAGCGTGATGTGGGCTGGTTTACGTGCGAGGCGCGATGTCATGTGAATTGTTCGAGGTCCTCTTGCGAGTGCGAGGCGAATCTTGGAAGAGGATACGGTGGGCTAGGTGGGACCTGCGCTGCGTGAATCAAGGCTTCGGATGTGGTTGAGGCTTGGCCAGTGGCCAGTCCCATCTTCTCTGGAAAAAGAAACGTTTCGGGAGGAGTGCAGCTCCGAAGCTCCGTAGGAACCTTGCGTTGTCACGTCAACGAGCAATACACACTTACGATCATTAAAGCCAAGGGTTCAAGACCCGTTTATGTTGCTCCGTCGCAGCAAGTCTTTCATTTATGCACTACAAATTGTTCGGAACGCTCAGTATCATGTAGAGACTTTCGTCTCACCGCTTGTCCAGCAGAATACCTCCACTAAGGCGCTCATGACGCTTGTTGTGGACTCAGAATCTCGATCAAACAACTTTGATGAAGCAGCCCGATCTACGTTCTCGTATCTCTAACGTGCCAATCGTCATGGGAGTTCACTTTGTCGCATCGCGAAACGCCAAGCAGTCCGTCCAGGTTGTAGGGAAGTGGAATCACGGCTCCGAACTGGCTGTCCGGAAAGTGGGGCCTTTATTCACCGGAGGCCCGGCCGGACGTTCGGCATGTCTCACTGCAAAACGCCCGGCACCAGAGTGCAAGCCTCGACTACCATCAAACGTAGGCACTCTTGTTGAGAAACTCTGAATGAGTTGTAGGAGGCCTTTTGGGAAGAACGTTTCAATGGCGACTAACCCTAAAGGGCTCCTTACCTTGCATGCGCGGGCGCCAAGAAAACGGCAGAGTAAAATTTGGCTCAATGGAACCTTATATTCAAGCAAATCATGTTCAGTTCAATGCTCACTTTGCGTTGATTCGTTGGATCTGGGCTTCTGCTGACCACTTTCTCAAAGACAAATCACTTATTGGATGAGCGGCTGTCAGCATTTAGTACGGACTCTGTAAGGCAGGCAGCAGGTAAGGTGTCAAGACCCGGACATAAGGTGTTCCTGTCAGCATTTCATCCGGAAGGAGCAATCCAATCTCACGTTATATATCCCCAAATTTACCATTAGTTGTCAAGAGGCGGGCGTAATGTGTTCCTGTCAGCATATCATCTGGAAAGAGTATTTCAGGCTCAAGTTATATACTCCAACAGCTCCCATTATGTTCTCGTCTGCCACAATTGGCGCTCTATCAGAAAAACTCACGCGTGAATATGTCATCGCAACACAAGAGCGTCGCCATCATCGGCGCAGGTAAGACTGACGGGGCTCGAACCAAGCGACCAAACACTAACGCTCTGTCACTCAGGGCCCAGCGGTCTTGCCGCAATCAAAGAGTGCCTTGCTGCCGGATTGACCGTGCAATGTTTTGAGCGCGCTCACGCACTCGGAGGTCAATGGCTCTATGAACCGGCGCCGACGGCAGACACCCATTCGTCCATATATGCCGGAGTCATTCTCAACTCTTGTAGCGCTACCACTGGTTTTAGTGACTTTCCAATCGATCCGGCGCGGTACCCAATCTACTACTCTCATGAGCTGCATCTGAGATACCTGAAAGAATACGCGGCACATTTCGATCTGGAGAAGCATATTCGATTCAATACTTCGGTTATAGGATGTGTACCGGGGAAGAACGGCAGATGGGAGGTGAGAATCAGCAGCAATGAAGTAGGAGATGACCGTGGAGAAGAGCTGTTGGACTTCGACGCGGTTGTATGCGGGACTGGGATGTTCAGCAAGCCTATCATCCCTGACTACGAAGGGAGGGATAAGTTCAAGGGCGGGGTGGTGCATAGCCATTATTATCGCACACCAGGCGCCTACGAGGGAAAGAAGGTCATCATCGTGGGGCTTGGATCATCCGCTGTCGACATCGCGTGTGAAGTCGGGCCTCAAGCCAAAGAGCTCACCATCATCAGCCGCCGCGGTGCATGGGTTCTCCCTCGGTTTGTCCTTGGGAAGCCGTTGGAGGCATGGGATAGTGAGTAATCCGTGGCATCTCGGCTAGGTAAACACGTCAAGGTACAGTCTACTAATATGGGGCAATAGATCGCGCCAGCGAGACGTGGATTCCACCAAGTGTGCAGGAATACCTTTTTGAGAAGTTATTTTACCATGCCGCTGGTAAGATGCCGGCAGAGCTTCAACCAGACCACGGCATCATCAACCAGAACGTAACTGTCCGAAGCGACTTTATGGAGAAACTGCAGACAGGCGTCTTCGCTCTTCGCCGATCGAAAATCACATCCTTCAGGGAGACAGGTGTTGTCCTTGAAGACGGAACCACCATAGACGCCGACGCAGTCATCCTCGCCACGGGATATCACATGATCGAGGAGTCGTATCTTCCCCCTGGCGCGCTGGAAAGTAGGGACGCACCAGCGCCATACGTGGATCTGTACAAGATGCTCGTCCCGCCCCGGTGGAAGGACCTGTATGTCATGGGACAAACCGAGCAAATCGGTCCTGGAAACGCGGTCTGCGAGGCGCAGGCGCGGTACGTCGCGGCCATCATCCAGGGAAAGATACAGCTCCCGAGCGAGGAGGAGATGATGCGGGACATCCGTACTTCTCGAAGCCGGCAGCAAAAGCACTTTATTAACTCGGAGAGACATTCACTGACGGTCGAGTTCGTGAAATACATTGATGATCTGCTGGAGCCGCTAGGGGCCGCCCCCTCGTTTGGGAAGCTTTTTGGCAGGGTGTTCACAAGCGGGAGCCCGTTAAGGGCGCTGAAAGTCCTCTCCGCTGTCTTCTTCGGCTACTTATCTCCTGCGCAATGGAGGCTTTTTGGCGAGGGAAGTGCGACGGAATTGGCTGAAGAGACGCTGCTGAGGACCAATGCCGACGCGGATAAGCTGAGTGCGGGCGAGAAAGCACTCATCTGAAGACCATCGGGAGTGCGTGTATATTGTGCAATCTCTAGTCATGAATGCTACCCTAGCCAAGTCTGCTTTGTCGAGGTGAAGTTGAGTCCCGTTTTGGCTACCACGGACGGAGAGCCTGCCATCATGTCCTGGTGTTTGCTAGTCGTGATAGTGTTGCAGGAGCTGCTTCAGAAATATTTGGAAGAACAATGGGCGGGCGAGAACAGTGTTGGAAGGCTAAGGGTGACGTTCATGAAGACCGAGCTTGCCAAGAACCCAAAACACTCACAGGTACAAATCATTTGTTCATGTCTTGGACGTGCTGGGGTTTGGTCATGTTTTCACACAGTGACGTCCTGATCAGGTAGATGCAAGACATCACCACAATGAGCAGGCTTCATAAGGACATGAGAAGTAGAACATAAAAAAGTTGATAGAGCATTGGGAATCATCCAGGTCTACCCTGGTAGTCTATGAACCTATCTACAGACTGTAAAAAATGGGGTCTCGTCCACTCATCACTCATTAAGAGCCCCTTGGGGCAACACAAACTTTTTTCTCCTTTCCACCATCACTCCCTCCGACACACCATTCTAGTGAAGCAGCGAAGCGAGCTTCTGGACCAGCTGGCGGGTCTCGGGCTCCAGCTGCTCCTCGGGCGGGCTGAGAACAGCCTGCAGGATGGGCAGGATCTTGGGGTGAGGTTGACGACAGTGGGGTTCTGCTGGTCGTACAGCTTGGCAATGGCCTGGTAGATGGGGGCGTTCTCCTCGTAGTCCTCCTGGAGGGGCAGGACGCTGACGACGGCGGGAAGGACACGCTCGACGAACTCGGGGTTGGGGTTGCGGAGGATCATGCGGGAGATGCAGCCAGAAACGTTGTCGACCATGCGGGACTCCTTGATCTGCAGGAGAGGCTCAAGCTTCTCCAGGACGGCGGGGTACTGGGGGATGGTCTTGTCGGTAGACTGGGAGTTGTAGATGAGCTGGCCGGTGGCGTAGGCAGCGTTGGACTTGGCGAGGGAGTCAGGGTCGGTGAGGCGGTGGGTGAGGACAGGCAGGAGAGAGTCCGTGAAGGGAGTGACGGCCTCGCCCATGTACTTGATGGCCTCAGCGATGACACCGACGGCGGTGGAGCGCTCGAGGGACTCCTGGGAGCTGGCGAACTTGAGGATGGGCTTCTCAAAGATCTTCCACATCTCGGCAAAGTCACCGCCAAGAGCGGTGGCGAGGCCGAGAATGACGTCGAGGGCGGTGTCGATGACGAGCCAGTCGAACTCGGAAGAGCCCTCGGCCTCCTGCTCCTCCTCCTCATCGCCGAGGTCCTGCTGGCAGGGGTGGGAGCGGGTGATGAGAGTGCCCAAGATGGTGATGCTCTCCTTGAGCAGGTCATCGTGGGTGAGGATGGAGGGACCACAAGCCTTGAGAGTGGCCGCCATGTTGCGGTTAATCTCGGTAATGACGCTCCTGAGAGTAATCGTTAGTACAATTGTCCAACGAAAATTTTGCCATGATGAACATGAAGTTGCCCAATGGGTCAGACGTGATCAAACGTGTTCTCAGCAACCGCACACATTGTGTGCGTCTGAGTGAGCTGGGTATAACGCGAGTTACTCATCCTTTGAGGGCGGGGGAGGGGGAAATGGAAAAGACTGCTCGAAACGTACCGTTCAGTGTCCTCTTGCCAGACGCCCTTGGTGGCATCAACGACCATTTGGCCAAGGTTGAGGATGACCTCGTCAGGCTGCTGCTTGGGAGGGAAGCCGGCCTGCCACTTGGTGCCGGTAGACTCCTCGAAGAGCTGCCAGACACGGGCGTAGGAGCGCCAGAGGGTGGAGATGGCCGCCTTTCGGGCACCATCGTAGGGGTGCTCGGCGAGAGGGGCGACCTTGCCCATGGCGTCGCCAAGGTACTGCCTGATGGCATCAGCACCGCAAGAGTGGGTGATGACGTCGCCAAGAACCTCGAGAGCAATCTCCTGCTCAAGAGCAACGGCGGTGACACCGGCGAAGTCGTCGAGGTCCTCCCAGTCGGCGTCCTCATCCATACCCTCCTCGTCGTCCTCGTCGACGGCCTTGAAGTTGAGCTTCTTGCCGCCAGAGAGCAGCAGGCCCTCGGGGATGTCCTCCTCCTTGAGGCCGGGGATGGAGACGGACTCCTCCTCAAGCTCAAGGCAGTCGAAGAGACCCTTGAAGACACCGGGGAGGAAGTGAGCGAACTCGCTGCCGTAGACCTTGGACAGGGAGGCCCAGAGGATGAAGCTGGTCTCCTTGAGGCGGGCGTTGTCGAGGCTGAGAGCCTCCTCGCTGGCCTTCATGAGGTCCATGACGTAGGGCTGGAACTCCTGGGCGCCAACAGCGTCGGCAATGCGGCCCATGGAGTCGCAGACGGACGAGCGGAGAGCAAGGGCCTCCTCGCTGTCCTTGATGGTGACGTACTGGCCGAGAGCGCCCATGACGTCCTTGAAGTAGGGCTTGAACTGCTCGCCACCGAGAGCGGAAGCGATGGCGCCAATGGCACCGGCAGCAGCAGCCTTGACGGCGAAGTCCTCGTGGCCGAGGAGCTTGCCCATGGGGACAATCAGCTTGGGGCCGAACTCCTTGATCAGCTCGTCGTCAAGACCCTCGCCAATGAGAGAGTCGAGAGCGCCACAGGCGGCGCGAATGATTCTGACGCTCTGCTTGTCGGAGGCGCCGGCGACGGCCTCAAGGTTGGTGAGGAGGGCGCTGATGAGCTCCCGGTGCTTGGGGGAGAGCTCGTCGGCCATCTCGTCGGCGAGGTGGATGAGACCGACGAGGGCAGCGTGACGGACAGAGCCGTCCTGGTCGTTCAGGAGCTGGAGAACGACGGGCAGCAGAGGCTGGAGCTGGGTGGCAATGAAGTCAGGCGCACCCTCAGCGGCAGTACCGAGAGACAGAATGGCGGACTTGCGGTGGCCGGGGTTGGGGTTCTGGGCGAACTGAGCGAACTGCTCAAGGAGAGGCACGATGACCTGGCGGGGAGGCAGATCGCTGGCCAGCTGGTCGATGAGAGACAGAGCGGTTCTGGCGGGAGAGTTGTCGTCGTCCTCGTCATCAGTGTCAATCTCGGTGACGACCTGCATGCTCTTGACCATGAGCAGAGCACCCATGTCCTTCATGGCCTGGAGCTTCATGCGGCGGTAACGGGCGCACTGGCTCAGGAAAGCCAGGGCCTGGGAGCGAGCATCCTCCTCGACCTCGGTGTTGACGGCGAGGTCAATCATGAAGTGGATAAGGTCCTTAAGGTGGGCAGCAAGGAAGGCGGAGTCGTAGGCCAGGAATGACTGGAAGACCTCGAAAACGTCTCTGTACTGGTCATCGTTGCCCTCGGAGATGGCGTTCTTGAGGATCTCGACCATGGGCTGGACAAGCTGCTGAATGAGGTTCAGGCTCTGGGTGTCCTCCTCGGGGTCGACGAGCATCAGCAGAGCGCCGACGGACTTGACGGAGCTCAGGCGGACATCGGCGCTGGCAGGGTCGACGATGGTCTTCTGGACGAGGCCGAGAAGCTGCTGGGTCTGCTCGGCGAAGTGGGTGGGGTCGTTCTCGAGGAGAGCGAACAGGATGTAGGAGCCAACCTCGCGGTGAGCGACGTTGTCGGAGGTGTTCAGGGACAGGACTCCACGAACAAAGTCCTGGCCCTCGCCATCCTCGAGGTCGAGGCCGACGGCGCAAGCCAGAAGGCGCGACTTGGAGTGGCGCGAAGAAGCAGACTGATCGTTCAGAATGCTCTCCAGAATGTGCTTCTTGGCAAGCTCACGCTTGTCAGCGGGCAGCTTGGACCAGTGCCTGGGAGTCAGGCGCAGCGCCTGGACAGAGGCCAGCTGACGGATCGCGGGGTCATCGTGGGAGATGGTGATCTCGATCAGGAGGAGAAGAGAATCGGGCTGGGAGTAGTAGTTCTTCTGCAGCTCGGCCGTGACAGCCTTGACCTTCTCGGTATCGGCTGGAGAGGAGAGAGCAGGTTAGCAAAAAGCTACTCTTTGTGTTTTTCCAGTGGATGCTCAGGAAAAAAAAAACCAGCGTATAAATAGGCGAGAGCCACAAAGCGAAAAGAAGCGAGGGCGAGGAAATGACGGAGGCTGGTTTTTGACTGGGTTTGCTACCGGGGTGGCACAGGGCGACGGGGACGTCAAAGGGGAGTAAACTCACGGATCTGGCTCGCTTGGAGCAGCTGGACCAAGTTTCCTTTATCCATCTTGTGTATGTTGGGTATCTCGTCGTCCTCCTGCGCGCAAAAGAAGAAGAGAAAGACAAGAAGGGGGGGAAGGAGAGCGAGGGGAGAAGAGAAAGGGAAAAAGAGACCTGGCGCTACGATTTTTAACCCAGAGGGGGATGGAAAAAAAAAAAACCAGGAACGGGGTATCGGCCAGTTGGTTTGTTGATGCCCGAACCACCTATGACACGCCGCAGCAGCTTCAAGGGAAAACAATGTGAAAAAAAAAGCACCAAAGAGACCAGGACCACACAAATTTTAGGGGACCAGCGTGAAAATTTCGAGATTGGCCCCGCCACTCCAGATAAGATAACGAATGGAAGTGCTCTGGAAGCAAAGAAAATTTCCTGTGAGGCGGGGTTATGTCCAGGTACCCCTCCTCATCTTGGACCGTGACTGCAGAAAAAAGTGCATTTCTCCAAGGCACAACCAGGTACGTACCTAGCCTACCCCTCCATTCACGTGTGCTCGGAATCCAATTTCACTTCTTCACGGTGCACTTTGTCACCTGCAGATGTCATGGCAAGTCGCCATTTCTGTCTGGCCAACGTGGGCGGTCAAAATAGTGCCCTGACCTGGCTTGAACCCAAGAGAAAGACAGCCACGCATTCTCCGTCGCTGATCTCATTGTGCAGAGGACCAGGGACGATCCACAAGCAATGCTTCCCGTCTCATGCTCTTGTTTGCCACATTTGTAACCTACAGTATGACTGATGTCCTGCTTGTTCCGGCGCTTCTCCCGTAATATCCTATTCCAGTAATATGCGAATATACGTAGAGGCTGAAGTTCGTGCCCTCGAAAAGCTGTCGCCCGGTCCCGGCCTACAATGGAGGAGGGAGGAGAGGAGGCTGCCTCCATTGGATGCAAAGGCTCTTCAATTGAAGTTTGCAAATTTTGCAAGGTCTCGCCGCATGAATTGTGGGTTCCGACTGGTTTCGAGACAAATCTTATGCCGACCCCCTTCACCGACACTTCCCGCTGTCGGGTCGGGAGCCCCACTCCGGATCTTGTCTCGAATTCGGCGCGCCGCATCCACAATTGGTCCGGGTCCGGGTCCGGGCTGGCTACGGCACATCGAACGGCTTAAAGACGCAAATCTGTTGAAGGTTTTCCGGGGATTTGGAAGAGTCTTAACAAACTAAATAGCTTGGTTCGATTGTAGTATTGCGACGGACCGACGTCAGTAGGCCGCCGATAGAGACAGCTGAGTGGTCGATCGTTGGTTCATATGGCGGAGAGTAGTGGCCGTAGGCTTCGGTGGTTCGTCTCAGACCCTGCGCTGAGCTCAACACCCAAACAGAAATTTTTATCGACGCGGTGTTAGTTGTTAGTGCCACTACTCTAGTAATGCTACTTCCCTCAAGGCAGCACGTTGAAAGTTGAACCTCGCCGCTATCCATTGAGGCCGTCTCAAATGGTAGAGCAGCGGAAGATGTAACTATCGTAGGAGATGTATCGTGTAGAGATGCGATTACGAGCCATCCCCGAAGATGCCTGTTGACTGATGCGGGAGGTTGATACAGTGATTCGAGCTGAGACACCATTGAAGGTGCTATGGATAAATGAATTGTCGTATGCTTTTAAAAGCAGCATAACCCTTTGGTGTGCCAATGCCTAGAAAAGAGCAAAGACCTCCAATTGGCGGGCTACTATTCACTCACACCGTAAGACATGAATAGTCACTTCTGTGTTTCTTCAAACTCGATGAAGAAAACACATGGTCTGTCACTTGCGTGCCGGTTCAAGCGTGAGTTTTGTCCAAGGCAATAAGCCAAGTCTCATTATAAATTTAGTATCGTCTAAGGAATGTATCGTAATATGCATATGCCAAATGACTGAAGAGCGCCGGTTCCATGCAGTGCCGAGTGCCCATGATTAAACCTCGCTATTAATACCCAATTGTGTTGTCGTACCGTGACATGATCGTCTCTTTTCTTCCCCTCTCGTATCCCCAATCGCTTACAGGCCGCAGGCGCTGAGGTCGACCTGGGTAGCCTGGGCGTCGATGCGGCCGAGCTGGGCGGCCTGGCCGTTGGTCAGGTCGTTCATGGCGCCGAGGGCCAGGTTGAAGCCGGAGCCGGCGTGGTCGATGGCAAGGACGTTGATGCTCTTGCCGTTGTAGGTGAGCTGCCAGCAGGTGCCGCACTGGGACGTGTTAGTCGATGGGTTTCTCCTAGGAAGACTCTCGAGCGAGCATAGGCAAGGGTCAACTTACGCTGGGGGAGTTCCAGCCGGCAACGGCGTCAGCGCCGCCGATGTAGGGGAAGCGGGCGACTTGGCCCTGGTTCTGCCAGCCGTACTTGGTGATGAGGCCGTTGGCGCCGTCGGAGCAGGAGACGGCGGTCAGGGAGCGGGAGCCGTCATCGTAGCCGGTGTCATAGGAGACGGAGACGGCCGCGGCGGCGGCGACGGAGGAGAGGAAGGTGACGAGGCCGGAGAGCTGCATGTTGGCTGAGGTATGCGGTGTGGGTGTGTGTGGGTGAGGTGGTGTTATAGATGGAGCTCGGAGGCTTGTTTGGAAAGTTGTGTGTGTGGTAGTTGGAGAGGCTGATGGAGAGAAGCTGATGAGGATGAAGACCAAAAAACAAGTCGGATGAGGCGAGTCTTTCAGTCTCTCTTTATACAGCCTCGACACTCAGCTTGATCCATCAGCCTCCCTCGTTATGCTCTTCCATTATGCTCCATCACCAGCCCCGAGCCGAGGCGAATGAACAGGTCCTCCCCTGCGCCCATCGCAAAAGAGCGAAGAAAGGCCCCATGACGTTGTGGCCTCTCCGACTAGGGCGTCATATTGTGACATGGCCGGCACAGGACCCTTGGCAGGCTTGGCGTGGGTGCTCCATCCTACATGCCACATCGTATGGGATGGACCGCTGGAAGGGGTGCAAGCTTCCCCAGGCCAGGGTTCCTCCGGTTCGTATCGCCAGCAACCCGAGGTGGGAGTTGAGAGGTGAATGCTACCCAGAAGGCCCCAGGCTAGGAAGCAAGGGAAGGTGCACTGCCGATCACGGATCTGGTATTGACGACGTGGGGAAAGGGCCACTAGAACGAGACGAGGATTCTGCTCGTATTCACTAGCCCGATCCCGGCCAGCGTTGGTGCCGCCGTTTGCTGCTGGAGGCAGAGGAGAGCAAACACGGGCTCAACTCGAATTGGCCGCAATGCAACGGAGCCACGGCGGGTGACTTGCGTGTTGGCCGGTGCCCGGCGACAGGGCTGTCTTCCTGCTGTTTTTAGCACTCAGAGACCGCTAAGGTTAATTCGGAATTAGCATGATTGGTCCCGCCACTTGCACCCCCCGTTTGTTTGCCAGCCCAGCCTCTTCCCCCGGGCGCATGCTAGGTACCTACAGTACAGACTAGAGTGGAACATCAACAGACTTGATTGAGCATTAGCAGACAACATTAACCGTACGTATCATTCTTTCTAGTCAAGGTTCTGCGGCTGTCGATCCTTGTTTGCGCCTTTACCGCCTTGGCCGTCGCAGCGGAGCTTTTTTTTCTTCGAGCCTGCCGAAGTGCATCGGGCAACCTTCCCGCAACGTTTTCTCCGACAGCCGTCTTTACAGGTACGCTGGGTAAAATACTCTCTTGTTTTTCTCCACAGCCGGCCCCCCGGTGGAAATCAGCGGGACGCAGCAGTCAGGTGGCCTCTCTTTTCCTCGTGTTCGCGAGAGAGGGTTTCTTAGCCAACGCATGCGTCGCTGCGGCCCTGTTGCTTGCTGCCGGGCTTTGTCGCATCGTTCGACCTCGACTCTCTCCCACAAAGGATGAGGCTGGCGCTCCGCGGTGGGAACGTCACTGGCTGACGGGCTGTGGCGGACGTCCATCCACGCTTCTCCCAATCCTGCCATGGCCGTGACCGCAAGTAGGGGACGCCAATGAGCGCCGCCGACGATCTAACAGGCGTAGCTGCTTACAATGGCAAAGCAGCCTCGGCCCTTTGCTTGCTCCGCCCATTGGTTTACGTGCGCTTCACGCTGACCATCCGCGACGTCCAGCAACGTTACAAGCGCGCAAGCGCGGATCGACGACCGCAGTCTCACCTCACTCGTACGCAACAAATGGATCGGTCACGCTAGTGGTGTTGTCTCCCCACGGGTCGTCCGATGCATCCGCTCTTCGCCGCCTTTGAGTTTGGTCGCGACGCCGAGAATAGATCCGGAACACGGCCGCAAACGTTTGGCGCCTCTGCGAGACGCAGCTCCATAGCTCCAGAGTCTGCCAATGCGAGTCCGACCTGACCGACAGGCATCCGCGATGAGCGGTGGGGCTCGCGAACCCTCGGCGGAACACGCCAGAAACACGAGCTCTCGTCCTAATCCCCGCTTGCTTCTCGAGACTTTCCGGTCGATGCTCGATACTCGAGGCGGTGTGCGATCGTCACCGCGGGAACCCGTCTGACCCCGAAACCGTTGCATTCGAGGGGACGACTCTTCGCTCATAAGAAAAGGCGCCCCTCATCGGTTTGTGAGCAACGTCGAAGTGTAGTCCGAGTATGTTGGGCATCATGTTGGATCGTCCGTCTTAGTTTCAAGGACAAGTCCGAAAATCAGCTGCGCGCCAAGCACCATGAACCTGAACTCTTGGGGATGATGGGTGTTGATGTCAGGACAAGGAAGAATGTCATTGGAGATCATTGAGGCCGCTCTGGCTACGCCTATCGGTCAACAGAAATCTCTGGGGGAAATCGACAGATAAGATGGACCACGATATGAATGCCCCTCAAAAGATGGGCCATTCTGTGGTCCATGTTGCGTGTTATTGTCATCAGACGAGCATCTGGACTGTCCTGGGTATGATTCCCGAATCAGTTGACGTCTCAGTGCGAGGGTCCATGGAGATCAGTTGACGTCAAAGGAGCGCGAAATTCTCCTTTGCGTGTTCGACTTTAACCCATATTGCTATAGCTTTCCAAAGTAGGCTTCGGCATGAGATGTCGTCGGAAGAAGAGGTTGCCATTGGCAAGAACCTCGAGCAGTGAAAGCAAAATAGAGTAAAGACGAATGGCGTGATAAGATAAGGCGCTGGAGAGCTTCATACATTGACCAATGATGGACCTGGAAGCCACCCCGCACTCAACAGGGCTTCCCTCCCCCTCCCCCACCGAAACAGCTCAGCCGCTGAGACGCTCCGGTCATCGGGCGACCTCAAATTTTTTGAGTCACGAACGACATCAGTCAGGCGATCGGCTCTCAGGATCACTCTCAACTCACTGCTTTGCAGCCAAAATCAACCTCATCTCATAGAGGAGCTACTCTTCCGTTGAACCGAGCCATCGTATCTCCCCGAAACCCATCAATTGTGACCATTCGTCGTCGATCTCCTACCAGGCCTGAACGGACCTGAACCCCTCCCCTCATCTCGCAACCCCTCTCAGCCCACCCCCTCGTCACGACTTACACCGCCTGCCCATCATGACCAAGGAGACGTTCGTGATCAAGACGCCCTCGTCCTCCGCCAACATTGGCCCGGGCTTCGACGTCATCGGCCTCGCCCTGTCCGTCTACCTCGAGCTGCACGTCACCATCGACCGCTCCAAGACCACCTCCTCGGAGCCCCTGAACTGCCGTCTCACCTACGAGGGCCAGGGCGAGGGCACCGACGACATCAGCCTCGACCCCTCCGTCAACCTCATCACCCGCGTCGCCCTCTACGTCCTGCGCTGCCACGGCCAGCGCATGTTCCCCGTCGAGACCCATGTCCACATCAAGAACCCCATCCCGCTCGGCCGCGGCCTTGGCAGCTCCGGCTCCGCCGTCGTTGCGGGCGTCATGCTCGGCAAGGAGGTCGGCCACCTGGACCACCTCGACCTCGACAGGCTATTTGACTTTTGCTTGATGATTGGTGAGAAGGTCCCAGGACTTCCAAAGGCGTTCATGCTCACACAAAACCAGAGAGGCACCCCGACAACGTCGGCGCGTCACTGTACGGAGGCTTCGTCGGCACCTACCTTCGCCCCCTGAAGCCCGAAGATGTCCAGCGCATCGAGATCCCCTTGAGCGAAGTCCTGCCCGCCCCGGCAGGCGGCGTCGATACCGGCGAGACCCCGCCGGCGCCGCCCCACGGCATCGGCCACCACATCAAGTTCCCCTGGGCCAAGGAGATCAAGGCCATCGCCATCATCCCCGACTTCCAGGTCCCCACACACCTTGCGCGCGAGGTTCTGCCGCCGCACTACACCCGTCCCGATGTTGTAGGTGGCCTTGTCCCATCGTCTCACCCCCCGTGCCGCATGTCCCTCCTTTCCCCTCGTCTATGGCTGACCCGCGACACAGACCTTCAACATGCAGAGGATAGCCCTCCTCCCCGTGGCCCTAGGAACCTCGCCGCCCGACCCGGAGCTCATCCACCTCGCCATGCAGGACAAGATCCACCAGCCCTACCGCCAGACCCTGATCCCGGGCCTGGGCCAGATCGTCGAGAGCATGTCGCCCAGCACGCAGCCGGGCTTCCTCGGCGTGTGCCTCTCCGGCGCCGGCCCCACCATCCTGGCGCTCGCGACGAGCAACTTTGAGGAGATTGCCGATAGGATCATCAAGATCCTCAAGGAGAACAACGCCGACAAGAACGTTGGCTGCCAGTGGAAGATCCTGGAGCCTGCCGAGGGTACGCAGGTCATCCGGTGAATGGGGGGAAGCCAGGGCGGTTTGATTTCGGAAAAATAACAGAAAAGGGGACAAAGGGGTTCTTAAAAACATTTTAGAGGTCGGGAATCTTAGAGACTTCTTATGATACCCACAGGACTACCGGCATTCTCAGTTCCCACGGGACGGTCTCGGTCCTCTCTACACACGTCATATAGTCAGCCTCTCCGACTATGTCGCGGGCTTGACTTCGTATTGCTTCAGTCTATCCTCGAAGCCTTCTCCGTTCCAGAGTCCATTGTCTTTGGTCGCCTTCCTCTGGGGCGGGCTAGTGTGCTTAATGATGAAGCTGGCTACGACAGCGCCGTGCGCAGATGCCAGACCCTCGCCGCCTGTATTCGTGAAAATGGCGGTAACGGACCCAAGGAAGACGTTGCCGGCACCCGTAGAGTCGATGAATTTGGGCGAGCTGTAGTCTTGAGAAAGTTTAGCTATACCAATGGCTCTCTGGCAAATGGTTAAACATCTTACATCGCCTCAACTAACATCTGCGGTCTGTCAAGGCGGCGGACATTTGACCAGCCTGCTGACCGAAATGGATATGGACGCCTGGAACGACAGGTGCGTAGATGGATTAAATAGATGGGACCACCAAAATAGGCCACTCTGAGTGTCATGTGCGTAAACTCTCGCAGCATGATAATGTTGGATTTTACCAGAAAATAGACAGCATCAGGGACAATCCAGTATTTTTTGACCGCATCTATATCCTCAACACTGAATGGGCAACCTGCGGTCTTTGTCTTTGGACAACGATACAAGTATTTACAACAGAAGAAGCTCCATACATCTGAATATGTATCGTGCTCTTTTATGGTAAATTGCAAGAGCTATCTCACACTTAGTCAACTCAGAGTTTATCTCAATCTGTAGAAGTATTGGGAAGTTTTCTGCCTGAAGAACAGTTCTCTAACCTACAACGCAAGTAGTTGTCTGTTCGAAAAAGACCGTTAGTATACATGGATAACTTGGTTTATAGACTCTTGCAACGCTAACATCCTGCAAGTAAATTCCGAAGCCAGCCATTTACAATGAACGACGTGTATCTCCGACAAACTTTATATATCTTGTTCTAGAATGGTAACCTCTTTGTTAATCCTCTGTCGAACAATAGTCTGTTGATTCATGCAAAACATGAGAAAGCCTTTCCTCAATGGCCTGGTTGATGTTCACACACAATCTCTTTTGCCAAAATTGAGGTTTGTAAAGAATACACAACCACCACCCCAATTACATAGAATCTTCGGTTATATCAAAGGCGACGCAAAATTAGTCCCTCTGAGTTTTTGACAGTTTCAATTGAGTATCTTTTTCCCGTCCTCGCACTTGAGCTTCAGCCAAAGCTTACCAGCTTGCTTCTGCTGACCAGAAAAGTTGCCAGCGAGGCAGATGGATCCTTTTGAAACGTTGCCATAGTTGCCCTTGAGGACTGGCATGGCGAGGAATCAAGGTGGTGGAATCATGCTTGCCCACAACCCCTTGCGAATACCTATATTTCCAATATACGGTGTACCCATCACTGTTTTCCCATCAGCCAACGGCGTTGTGAAGAGTCTGAATCGTCTGCTTAACCTAGATGTTCCACGAAGGCTCTATGTCTTCCCAGCCGCTAAGAGTATTGGAAACCTCCTTAGGGTACCAGTTATCAGTCCTTCATGGATTGATTCCTATGTAGGAAATGAACCTGTATACTGACTCCAACATGAACACGATGTGACGGTCTTGTTTATATAAGGCAACGCCGCATTCGCTCAGAAGACAGTGAGGGCTATTACGGCAAATTTGGGCGCGGCTCACCTCGACTCGCCCTGCTCAGCCTGTGGATATAGATGGTCCTAAGCCTAGGCTTGCAATATCATAGTACTTTTTCTTGTTTTTGAGAATAGTACATAGTATCCTAGATATTGGGTCAGAATAGTACAAGTTATTCTAGCTTATGCATCACGTATCCTTTTATAAGAGTCGATCCATAATGCATGGCAAACATTACACCTACTGAGGATTTAATGGGCTTCAGGTGATCCGGCCAGTCCACCATGTACATATTCTGGTAATTGGCCGGAGGCGGCGGGGTCTCCTGTAAACACCGGGTGAACCTGGAGCCGAAACCATTTGGAGCAGAAGCTGGACGCATGCCTTTTCTAACTAAATATTGCTCCTCGTCGATTGTCATCACAGTGTCCGGGCCCGCGATGTCAACGACTAGCTTCTCGTAGTCCTCAGGCTTTCTGTCACTCCAAACATTATCCGCCGCTATGATCTTCTCTTCGCTGGTCCAGAAGCCACAGATGGACTGCTGAAATGTAGTCGCTCACTGTGACGTAGCCCTTGGCAGCATCCGATGCCTCGACAACCAAGGGCTGCGACTTGGTAGGCCGGTCCGTGCCGCAGCACCTCATCAGTTCTGGCTCGTCCTCTTCCTTGTCCTCGTCTGCCTGGTCTTCTGAATCAAAGTAAAGCTTCGGATCCAGCTGTCCATAAGCACAGTCCTCTCCGTCTGGATTCGCATGCCGTTCGTGTTTCTCAAGCCACTGGCCTTGCCACTGTTGCAGGGCATGAACGTCAACGGCGATAGATTTGACCTTTGGCTCTGTGAGTGACGATTCCGCGATGGCGTGCCAGACGATGATGTTGTCTGCAGCGTCTTTGATAGCATAGGGCACCCGCGTCAGATCATCGTAGTTGCTCTCCTGGACAATAAAGACATTGTCGTCTAACGGGCCTTCGCAGTCTCCACAAGATGAGCTTGGCCTCAGGAGTCAGCCCGACGGGTTGGCCAGACTTTTGCCGTTCTTGAAACGAGGGATAGCGGAGCAGGTGAGTAGACATGACATCTCATGATGGAAGGAAAGTTTTGTTAGTTGTGCAAACCGGGGAATTGATTTAAAGAAAATTGTTGGAGGCAGAAGACATCGGCTGTAAATGAATAACGATGTGAATAGTCTTGATTATACCTACATTATAGTATCGTGTTGTGATATGCGATATGTGCAATGTATAATTGCTCTAACGAATGTGCTACGTAAAGCCTCATACATGTCAATTACCTTGAGCAAAATGACAGAGGTGTTGATCTTCTATTGCGCCACCGTTCAACGATATAAACTCGAAGCTATATTCCATCATGACGATGACACCCAGTTGCTTCCCAGGGATCGCAAGCGTCTGAGGAGACCCACAGATACGTTCAATCTGTGCTTGAATATGAAGGCCATCTCCTGTCAAAAGAGCTCCTTAGAGATCTACATATATGATACTTAATGGCTGCTGCTCTCTGACAAGCTAGGTCAGGCTTCTAGCGTAGATGTTTATCGCGTAGGACCCCGTACCGACCGTTTACTCGGCCGGTGTTTCTCCATGCATATCCCTCTCTATCACCGCCTACGTAGATTTAATCTTACTCAAGTAGGGCTGTTTCCAGCATTATCATTTGCCGAGGCATGCAAGCCATATAATCTGATGACATGGAGCATCAACTGCGATTTGGGCCTGAGACCTTTGCAGCGCCGGCCCGCCGCGCGTTCGCTCAACATGGAGGTTGAGTCAAAAACGCGATCTATCACCATCTTAGATTTACAAGACGACATCAGTAACGAAGGTTACCAGGGCTTCATCATGAAATACTGAACATGACTTTCTAGCTTTTCTTTCAAGCCGTCAGTGACGCAACGGACGCTCATAACACCCTTACCTATATGCTCCCTTATCGAGGCAAGGAAGTCAGATCCGGCTGTAATGAGACAACAAAGGGTCACGCGCTTGCTCTTCAAAACAGCGAGACGAGCACCGAGTGTGCCTATCCAATGGATGTCTCATGTATGGGTCAAGATCCAACAAGTGGAAATATCGAAACAAGTTTGGAAGGCGGGCGCGATAATTGCCGCACAAGCCAGAGCCGCCGGGAATACCGCAGAAGAAACTGACGCCGGAAGGAGGATCTCGTCGAGGACGACCGTTCCGAGCGAGAGGAAAGCCGGAGCCGGGCGCGGAGCCCAGCTCTGGAGCCGTCCGGGGCTCTGCGGCCATGATTGGCTGCCCCAATGGCATGCGCCGGAATCACGAACAGATCGCGTCAATGGCAAGGTTTGTTGAGGAAGTCCGAACTGAGACACTCTCCACCCCTGCGTGGGATGGTCATTTGTGAGCGGGGAAATGCAGGCTGGTGGGATCGCGGCAGCTTCTGTTCTCCAGCCTGCGAGGCAACGCTTTGGAATGCAAGTAATTCGTCTTCCATCCTATGCTATGGTACCAGGCCCGGCCCGTCCATCCTTTCCCTTCCGCGAGCTCGAGGTGTACGGATACATTTCTCGCGTGAAACTAATTACAGCGCTTGACCCGTCACCGACAGCGGGTTTCCCGCGTTCTCCTTGGGCATCACCGCCGCGGGTGTGTGTATCTCAGACAACGCTCCTGCGCCAGGATGTCGCCGCGACGCCCCGAGATGAGCATCTCCCTGACAATCATCTGAGATGGCCCAAAGCTTGGAATGAGCGGTGAGCGGGGACGAAGCCTCATTCGCCTTGTTCGCCCAATCGGAAAAACCGGATGCCAACCACACGTTCCTGATCGAATCTCCGGCAGGCCCAATCTGTGACATGCTTCCTTGTTGCGATCCTTATCTATCTGTATCGCGCGTTGCTCGCGTACATACCTACCTTCTCAGACAGCATTGCATTTGCATTCGCATACAGTGTGCATGCGCATAAAGACAACATGGAGTAGAGCACGTCTGCGCCAATCGAGCATGCTTCGTGGTTGCCAATCGGTGCCGCCACACGAGCGAATCGAGGCCAGGCCGGACGCGGACGAGGCGTCTGCTAGATAAAGCCACCCGCCTTCAGCCTTCCCGTAGGCATTCCAAAGGTCCTCGAATACTGTGCAAATCCCCACCAGGCGACCCGTCTTTCGAACGGTTCTGGTTCCTGGGCACTGGCGGAAGAACGAGGCCCAAAAGTAAGCAAGTCCTGCCACGAGTGAATCGACTCCAACACGCGAGAAGGCGTGGCAGCGCGAGCACGGCCGGCGCCAACCCAAACGCCAACGCTGCTAAAAATACAGGCTTGGGAAAGAAGTCAGATCTGGCGAGCCCGTCCTCCCTCGAAACTTTTTGGGGTGCCGGGCCACTGGTTCATTTGGGACTCGTCGTCGCACAGACTCGCTCCATGTTATCGAGGAACAGAGGGAAAATGCCCGTACGACCCCCACTGCCACGGATTGGTCCGAAGTTCGGCGTCATTGTCTTTCGTTCTTGGGCAGGCCTGGTCACTATTCTGCATGGCGCGAGTATCAGAATGTCGGGATTCTTGGGCCCTTCGGCGCTTCTCGAGACGGTCGTCACCACTTAGACTTACGTCCTCGCAGCCCTTGCGGTGTTTTGCGGTTTCCGATGATTTCATGAGCAAAGTGTCGCCGAGTTCTTGGAGCAGTGAACAGCAGACCGAGACGCCGTCCGAAGTGTAGCCTGCATAAGCTCCTTGGTTGGGTTGGCGATGAGAACAGAGAGGGTGACGGAGTAACTCCGTATGTGCATTGGGAGGGCTGCCGTTCGCTCCGGGTCACGGCACCCTAGCCAGCCGTCCCAGGGTGCACGCTGGCTTATCCGCAGTTCTAGCACCTCGCACCGTCGAGCTTCCCTCGTCGAGTCGGAGAAGGGTTCCCGTACCTGTCGCGGGGCGCGTCTCGTCAACGACACGCAAGTCGGTGGAGAGCAGAGCAAGAGAGAGAGACGTGGAAGGTTTCCCAACGATCTGGCCATGCGCCGATCGCCCGCCCTACTGGCCAATCACGCCGACGACAATTCCAGAAACGATGCGACGAGCGACGGCGTGCGGCACCCATCCCCGGCGCGGTGGGCCCCGTTTGCCAGCCCCGAACCCCAAGCGGTGAGGGAGAGCTCTGCAAGCTCCCATCTCGGATTCTCACCAGGTACCTGGGGCCCTGGGTTCCTCATAGCCCTGGCGGTCGCCTTGTCTCCTGTCTGCCAGGCTGTCGAGTCTGTATTTATGCTATCCTACACTACTGCCCCATCGTTGGCAAGCAATGCAATTCCCCACCATGTAGGTAGTTTGGCCTTGGCTCAGTGCGATCATCGGAGTTCAGGGCAACGGCATCCTCCTTTTAGAACGTCTTGCCTATTACACAGGACCGCCAGCCAGTCAAGTTGATCGAGCGAAGCCCATCCAGGCATGCCCAGCCGAGACGCAGGCGATCATGGGGTCGCAGGTCGCAGGTCCCTCCCTCCCCCTCCCAGCGGCAATGCGGCAGGGGGGCAGCGCTAGCCCCAGCATGTCTTGGTAGGCAGGTGTGGCAGGGGGAGGGAAACCAAACCTTTCAGGGCGACTGACGACGAAGAAGATGCCCAGGACGTATCTGTCCTTGACTCGAGACCAGAATGGACGTGAAAACAGGCAAACAGGACCGGAAGCTTGGGAAAAGAGCGAGAATGGAGACGAAGGACAGACGAAAGGAGAAGAGCGCCAATGCGTGTCTCGGTCATCAATCGTCAAGCGGGAGACCAGCCGTGCCTTAGCAGCTCTGACGGTTCATCCGAGGGGCCCCGGGTGCGTAAGATTCCTCGATTGAGGTGTAGGAGCAGTGGCTGTCAGTGGTGCGAGTGTGAGAGAGCGCTCCTGCGGGTGTGAGCTGTTGGTCGACCAAAGTGACCTGCGTGAGTGAGTGAGTGAGCGTCCGGTCAGCGAGCGGTTGCAGTGCGGTGTTGGTACCGGTGTGTGTTTGGTGTGGTGGAGCGGCGGGAAGCAGCCTGCATGTACCCGTCCTCTACGACTCTATGTAGCAACGGGAGAGGGAGAGACCCGCAGCTTGGCCCAAGCTCCTCAACGTCTCGAAGCTTTGGACGCTTCTTTCCCCCGACTGGCCGCCGTGGGCTGGGGCTGGGGATGGGGGAACTTTGTGGGAGTCTGGCAGGGCGCCCTGTTTTCCGGTTCCTGTTCCTGTTCCCGTCCCTGCTCGCCTCAAGTTCCCCTGTGGGAACTGTCGAGGCAAAGCCCAGGCAGTGTAGAGTTTCCCCCCAGCAGCAGGTTCCTGGACGGAACTTTTTGGGAGTCGACAAGCACAGCACAGCATATCATAGCATAGCCAACTCAGCTCAACAAGCATCTTGATGGATACGGCTCCGACACGGCACGGCTTGGTTCGCAAAGCCGTCGTCGTATCCCTGAATTTACGTCTACCGGTATAGCACAGAGGCAATGAAGTAGTGTACGTACACTGCCAACTCCATCCGTACATGATGTACAGGGACACACAAACAAACAACAAGAGCAGCAAAGCCCGGTGGACCAGACACGTACGTACTGGCGGACCTTTGGCTCGCGGAATTTGGCGTTCTGGAGACTTATTCATGCGACGGGGGGGCCAAGTCCCCGGCCGGCAAAGCAGATGTGCTGGCTCGTTAGCAGGCTGCTTTGCCTCATTGCCATCCCGAGCCATCCACCCCGATACGGTATGGACGTCTCTACATTGTATTTTCTGTTGAGAGTGTGTCCAACAGCCAGCCCAGCCCGTTTCTTATCGGTATCGTCGGGGGCACGCGACGCACCACCCACCGTAGAGCCGTGGGAACGACGTTGGAACGTGCCTGTCTGATGTTCGCTCTTGGCTGCCGTCTCTGCTTTTGTGGTCTGCAATGCAAAGCTGGCTGCCCGGCCTGCCTCCCCTCCCTTGGTTTGGGATCTGCCTTCACTCAAGTCTCGAGTCCTCGGGTCTCTCTCGTCAATAATTTCCCTCCCTCCCCTCTTCCTCCCCCCCTTAGGCTGCTCCCTGCACGATTGATAATCTGACAATCTGACACCCGAAAGCCAGTTCGCAGGCCGCACTTGGAAAGACTAGTCTAGACTCGCACACCACAGTGACGCACGGAGGGGCACTCACAACACATTGATGCGTGGGCGGGATGCTCGCTCGTTCTCGCGCCCATCCAAGCACCGGGCAAAGCAGACCACCCAGAAACCCTCCGCGCTATGGCAACGCAGGGCACTAGGTATTGCACTCGACTGCTGCTCGTCCGTCCCGCCCGGCGCCCGCCTTGGCAGGGTCACGAAGCTGCTTCATCAAAGTGCCTGACCGCTCCAAGACACGCGACTCCCGCCAGTTCCAGGTTTGTGTCGCCGACTCCTCTACTCCCATCTGCCTCTCGGCACCATTTGCCCTTTTCCGTCGCCTCATTTTCTGCGTCTCTCGCCAAGAAGCCCCCACTCTGTACATCAGTTCTGCAAACGGGAACCGTTCCATCTCGGAGCCCATCAAGACAGACACACAGGCGTTGACGGCAGTGGCAGATAGTCGGAAACTCTGTGAAAGTCGGTCCATGAAACCAGATCCCCTAGCTGTCCACATCCAGCGGTCACGGTAAACGATCTTCCCCTCCCCCTCCCTCCCTCCTCCCGATTAACCACTGAACATGCCACACCTGCACCATTCCCCTCCCGTCGTCAGCTCACGCGCCCCCGTAGATCCGCCGGTTCTGGTTCCAACCCTCTACCCAGATACCCCCAGCGTGGTTCCTGTTGTTTAGTCGTCCTACTTACTTCCTCTGCCACGGTGCAATGTACTGACACGGTCAGAAGGATGTATCCAAGGTCTAACCAGGTCCTTTTGCCTTTGGACTCGGCGACTTTCACCGTCGAGCTAGAACCAGGCGAATGCTTCCGGGAGAAGACCAAGACTAACACTCGCCTTATGCACGTGCAGTGGCATGATAGCGTGCATGTCAAGACCGCCCCAAAACAACCTTTGAATGCCGACACGTACATTGCATCCCCCACTCAACCAACCAAAGATAGACCTTGGCTCTCGTCCCTGTGTGTCCCTCCCCATGTCCCACCCCTGCTGATCCTGATTGGATCCCTCCCCAACAATACCGGTACGGGGGTACTTCACTCTGGGGGTCGGTCTGTCAGTCTATCTCCCACTCGACTCACTCAACTGGCTCGACTCGCTCACTGATTGAGCCTGGTTCACACAGGTCCAGCACACCGAAAGAGGCGCCTTTTCGACAGGGAAACAGGGAAACGCCTCTCACCCGCTCCACTCCCGGCACCCGGCTCGCCCTCCGCCAAAAGAGCCAAACGCAAACTGTGGACGGTGGGCCCAACGCTGTTGCTGCTGACCTTGCGCCTCCGCCGTCCACACCGGACCTCCGGGTACATCCACCTCCTTCGTACCTCGCACACGGACGACGAGCGCGACCTGTACCTGAACCCCAATTCCACGTCTCCTACAACGACAAGTACCTCCTTGCGCTGTTGTATTGCTGGCCCCCTCTCTTCGCCCTCACCTACCGTAAAACCCATTCCACCACCGTTCTCATCCCATCCATCCCATCTCCCCCCGAACCCAGACCCAAGGACGCCAGGGCAGCGGCTTGCAGACATCCCACCGCCGCCCATGCCCGTCCCATCCCCAATCCAAACCTGGCTCTAGTCCATCTCTTCCGCTCCCAGTTCCAGGCTCAGGGGTGTGCGTGAATGCTTGTCTGTGTATGAGAAGGGCGGGTGTGGGTGTGGGTGTGGTGTCTGTAGCGTGCAGCGTGTGAAGCTCTGTCTCTGATCTCTCTCATCTCCAATCTGTCTCCCGTCCTCGCTCCCTCGTCCCTCCTTCTGTGCGTATATCTGCCGTGCGACTCCCTCCCCCCTCTCTCGTTCTCCCTCCCATCGTCCATCGTCTCTCAAAGCTACCCACCCGTCCGTGTCTCTGTACTTTGTGCTGCTATACCCAACACCGAACAATTTCTCGACTTTCGTCTCCCATCTCTCGACTGTCCGTCTAATCGACATCCATCTTCCTCAACCGCAATCAATCCACTACTAGCCTGGTCGGCACTTACACCACGTACACAACCACTTCCCATCAGAACTCCCAACAAATCAACACCCGCCCGCCATCATGTCGCGCATCACCGCCCCCGTTGCGAAGCTCACCCGCTCCATCAACTCGGCCGCCACGGCCAGCCGCTCCAGCGGCCTCCTCGAGTCGCACTACAATGTCAACCAGGGCGCCGTCCTGATGCCAAAGTACGCCGAGCTCCTCAAGAACCGGAGCCCCCGCGAGCACGACGTATGTTTCTCTCCCCCGCTCCAAAACCTCCCCTCCCCTTCCCAAAACCTGACAGGAGGAACAAAAAACCCCGACTAACACCGTCGCAGTCCGCCCGCACCCTCACAACCACCCACCGCCCAACCCCGCAACCCATGCGCGCCTCCCACCGCCAGATGCAGACCTTCTCCTCGTCCGCATCCTCCGCGGCCCCCATCGCCTCCATGGACTTCACCACCCTGCCCATGTCCTACGAGCCCCAGGTCTCCAACGAGTTCGCCGGCATGCGCATGCCCCTGCTCCCGGACTCCTTCACCACAAAACACCAGTCCCTCTACGAGCAGCCCGCCGTCGAGGACCTCCCGCTCTCCCGGCCCGAGATCTCCGTCGTCGCCGCCCACCCGGAGAACGTCACCACCGCCGCCGCCCTGACCGAGATTGAGGGCTTCGGCGTCGACGGCGTCGAGCTCAAGTGGGCCCACGAGAGCGAGGCCGCCGCCGAGGAGGCCTACCAGCCCGGCCTTAGGGACCTGTGGAAGGGCCTCGTCAACGACGTCATGGGCTCGCAGCAGCAAAAGGCCGCCTTCTAGACGGCCGTCGTCGTCATGCTCCTCACGGGCCGAGGAGTAACTGTGAGAGGAGATGAATGCACTCCTCTTTTTCTTTTGTTGGTAAAAGATGAGAGAGAAAGGGGCGATGATTATCATGATGTGAAACTACAAAGCAAAGCGGTTGATATTCTTACGGTTGGGCCTGCTTTGGATGGGAAGCGGCCGCAACGGGTTCTCGGTTATTTAACATGAGTTTTTAATAGCTACCTGATGGCGGAATGGGATGGGATGGGACGGACCAACTCGAGGGGAGACTCGGGGGTTTAACTGGGCACGAGGACCATTATGAAATTCCACGGCTCGATTTGGATCTTGCACAAGCAGATCTGACCCAACACACTCGTCCCAAACTCGATCACCGTGACACTTGCAAGACGTATGATTGTGATAAACTTTTGATTGCCAATTTGGTATCGCCCTATGCCTTACACTCCTTTCCGCGAGCATGATACCGCGATTCCTTATGAAAACTGCTTGTTTGCTGAGCCCTGACAGCCTTGATTTCTTCTTCAACTCCCCCCTCATACATTACACGGGCATCCCGGCGTGGCAGCTTCTGCTTGTTGTCTGCCCCGAACGCTTCGCGCCTAGTCTCTCGGTCCGCATCCGCCGCAGCCTGATCTGAACCCTCAAAACCGTCCCCACCAGACCTTTCCCCTGCCTTATTCACCGTTTCTTCATCGTCGGGCGAGGCTTGCACTCGTCCGCCTGGACGGGGTGCAGCATCACCTTGATGGGGTACTGCTGAGTGTTGTGCTGGAAGCCCTTGCTCCAGTCATAGCTGATGCCGTAGGCGAAGATGGAGCCGTTCTTGTTGAAGGTGGTGGCCGTGATGCTGCCGCCGACGTTCGGGTATCCCTTGAGACGGTGCTTCGCGTCCTTGTCCCAGAAGTGGAAGGTGCCGTCCGAGCCGGCGGTGCTGAAAGTGCCGTGGACGGGGTGGAAGGAGATGTCGTTAACGGCGTAGACGTTGGTGACGTTGTTCGCGGGGGGTCGCGATGGCACTTGAATGAAAAGTTGGAGCTGTACACATGTTAGCCGTCTGCCGTTGTCGTCCTCGAGGCCCATTCTGTTCAAACTTACCTAGCATCCTTATCCTCAACATACTGGATCGCGCAACGGCCCTCGATACTGCCAATGGCAAACCCGGCGGCGTCGGTGAAGCAGCTGACGACCCTGGTCTGCCACTTGAGCGGGCTCTGGAGCGTCTTGTAGAACTTTGTCGGGTTCTTGAGGTCCACGACGTTGATGTATCGGTCGGCGGTGCCGATGACGAGCAGGTCGTTGCGCACGTCGATGGAGTACACGCGCTCCTGGCAGGTGAGCGTCGCCGCGGGCGTGGGCGACCGCATGTCCCAGTACTTGACCGTCTTGTCCCAGGAGCCCGACACGGCCATGGTGCCGTTGGCCGAGTCGAAGAAGCGGACGCACTTGACCGGCTGCTCGTGCTCGCCGATCTTGATCGTCTGCTGCGAGGCGAGGTCGCAGGCCTTGACGGCCTTGTCGGCGCCGCCGGAGAGGACCTTTGTGCCGTCCTGTTCGGGTAGAGTTAGCAAAGGGTATACGCAAACTCAAGAGATATGACGTCGTCGTACCTTGGAGAAGTCGCAGTTCAACACGGGTCCATCGTGTTCGTAGGCGTGCCGTCCCTCGCTCTGGCCGTTCTGTGCAATCTCGTATATCCTGACCTTCTTGTCCCAACTGGCTACTGCCAGAAAGTCGCTGGCCTGGTTCTGGGCGGGGGAGAAGGCGAGGTCGGAGATGCTGTCCTCGGGAGGGTTGTTGAGCGCAACGTCCTGCTTCAGGTCGCCAACAGTGTTGCTCGACGAAGACGAGGACGCGCTGCCGAACAGGCCCGACATGGTGTCGTTTGTGTGTCGGTCAACCTATGTGTGGAAGAGCGGTGTTGCTTCGATGCGTTCGAGCGGGGAGACGAAGTGAAATTGGTGTCGAGGTGCTTGGTCGGACGGTTGAGCAGGGGAGCGAGGTCGACGACAGCTTCAAATAGCTGCTGAAAATCGATCTTGGGGGGTGAAGCTCCAGCCCAGGCAGGAAGGCAGTCGCGATGCGAAAAGTGAACGCTGCTTCCCCATTGGCTGCAAAAGCCACAAGGCTGGGTGCCTGCGTGCCTGCCTCTCTTTTGCCTGGGTACCTTACCAAGCTGTAAGTGCTAACGTGAGAGGTCAAGCCACACCACACCACCTCGAGCCCGGTTCCCCCCACTGGGTAGGCTGATCAGCCACAAGCGGCGCCCCACCTGCGGCTCGACTTTTTTCTTTATAAAAAAACTGCGAGCTTCACGTCTTCCCTCTTTCCTTCTTCTTCTCTTCAACCCCCCTCGCCCGACAAATCGCCATCGAAGCTCACAAACAGAGACGTCTTTCTAAGGCGTCTCGGTCCTCTGGACCAAGAGAAGGCTTTGGGAGAAAGTCCCCGGACACACGTTATTCCCCCCCTTCTGGGGGCGGAACCAAAACGCCGCGGAAACGCGCCGCCATAGAAGCACAGCGGCTGACCTCCAAGACCTGCGTCCGGACGTAATGGCTTCTCTGCCCGCCCCGCTCCGTCGCTACATCGTCGGCGTTCTGCCCTTTCGAGACCTGAGTCTGCTTGTCCCGGGACCATATGGATGAAGATATGAGTCCGCGCCTGGGATCGGGAGACTTGGTGTGCTTGGGTAGGGCTGGTGCCTTTGATGACGGGGTGGCCGCGTGTGAGAGGTCGCCTGCCGGGCGAATTCAAGGGTTCGTCGGAGGAGTCTTTCGTCGAGATCGATAGGTATGCGATTGCCCGTCCTCCCCTTCGCCGGGGTGGGCGTGTTACTCGATGGGGCTTATTCTTGGTGCGAGGGGGGTTCAAGCAAAACCCGGGCATTTCTTGCCTGTCCGCCATGGGGCTAGACACCTACACTCTGGACTTCGTGGGAAGTCTCCCCCGTCTATGATGCCCTGGACAAGCGAGAGAGGTCTGTCTACACATTTTTCACGTTCGATGATGATTACCAAATAGAGTCAAGCACTGAGGTGAGAGTCCTTAGGGGCCGCCATTGTGACGACAAAACATGCGTTATGGTATCTGATGAACACTTTAAATATTTCGTTTTCGTTTCCTTCCATTATCAATGTCTTGGCTCGAGGTTGTTTGCCTCTGAGTTCCATCATGATACATAAAATAGTAATAAAAAAGAAACATGAACATGCATGGTATATCTAAACCCGTGAAAAGTTGCGATCCCTGCGCCGACCCTAGGCCGTCTTTCGTAAAGCCCACCCCAAATAACTCCATAAATAAATGCAGGTCATTGCAGACATGATGCCATCCACATATATCGTTGCCGTCACATTAAGCCCCCGAGCACGACCTTGCCAATGTTCCCCATCTCCGTCTTGATGTGCGCTCTGCTGTTGTCCTCAAACTCCTTGACGACGCCCTGCACAATGATCTTGCGCACCTTGGCGTCTGCTTTCGCAAACAGCTCGGCAATCGGCGTCGTCGTCTCCCTCGGCGTGGGCACCAGGGTCAGCACCTTTGAGTAGACATCGATGAGCACCTCGCAGAGCGTCGCAAACGTCTCGTAAAAGTCGGGCTCGAACGGCAGCGACGGCGTCAGCAGGTACGTGTACACCTCGCCCGGAAGCAGGTCGTTGTCGCTGGACGCGAATGACATGACGCTCGCGCTCGCGCTCGACGAGCCCCCAATGCCGCCGTAGCTGCTGGCGCTCCCTGGGTCCGAGTCGAGCGGGTATCCAATGTCGTTGGCGCCGCTCGTACTGCGCCGCGACTTCCCGCCCTGGCGCCGGAACATGGACGGCAGTCGCGCGCGCGAGAGCGAGCTCGTGGAGCTGCCGCCTTCGCTGTGGAGCTGCTGGAAGGACTCGAACTCTTGGAGGAGGTTGTTGAGACTGCGGAGGAACTCGATCGGGGTGTTGGCGTAGAGGTCGACAACGGTGGGGAGGGAGAGGCCGAGCAAGAGGTAGTTTGTGGCCCGGCGAGCGAGCTTCCGCGATTCGTACGAGGGCATGCGGGCCAGGTCGGGCTTGTCGAAGAGGATCGTGTTGAACCAGTACACTCGGCCTTCGTGTCTGTTTGAGGGGGCAAATCAGTTAGTCGTCAAAGGGATAACTACAGTAGAGAACGAAGAAAGGGGCACATACGCCTTGCGCAGGTAGTCCAGGGTCGATATCCTCTTGTTGGCCATTTCCAGCATCTGCATGTGTAACACGACGGACTCGCTCGACTGCCACATGTTGGGGTGCGTCGCAGACACGGGCGGGGGCTGTAGCCGGTCGCTGGGCGCGATGCTCGTCGAGCCGGTCTGCGTGCGGCTCAGCATCCTGGTGAAGCTGTCGGCGGAGGCGGGGCTCTGGATGTTTTCCGTGTCGCGGGTGATCTTTGCGGCGGCGGCGAGGGCGAAGTCGGGGAGTGCGGGCGGGACGTTGCGGTCGGTGACTACGACATTGCCTCCTGCGGCGGAGCTGGAGCTGTTGGCGCGGCGCTTGGAGGGGGAGCTGAAGGAGGTCTTGCGGCCGAAGGAGGTCTTGCGATCCTTGACCAGGACGTTGGGGCCGGAAGGCTGCTGGAGGGGCGGCGGGAAGAAGGGCGAGGGCTGCGGCGGCGGTTGGGTCTGGGACGGCTGAGGTTGCTGCTGCTGCTGCTGCTGCTGTTCGCCTGATGACGTGCCGGGGCGAGACTTTGAGGAGGAGGAGAAGAAGGAGGAGGAGAAGAATGGTGCATTGGCGGCCGTGGGCGTTGAGCCGGATCGCTGCATGTCTTTGAGTTGGCCGGGGGGGCCTAGAGGCTGAGCCTGGGAAAGGGCTGGCTGGATGGGTACGGGAGACGAAGGGCGACGTGATGGTTCGTCCGTCAGGGGAGAGAGGAGGGGGGGCAGCAACCAACAACCAGGTTCAGGAGTCCGGCGATGGAGGGCGCCGGGCGAGGGGCCGGTTCGATCGGTGGGTTGGGTTGCGCAGCTCTCCAATCCAGGTGCAGGCCGAGGTGGTATTGGGCCCGGAGCTATGGGAGGTGGTGTTGCGGCCGGCGGTGCTTGGAATCCCGCAGCTAGGTTTGTCGCGCGCGGTGCGTATGCGTGGTGTGGTGTGTGTGTGTGTGGTCAATGGGAGGGGGGGTTGTTTGTCGCGCAGGACCGCCGTGGAGCGACTTTCTGCTTGAACCTGCCAGGGTTGCTTAAACCAGATTATCCTTTTTTTCTTGCTTGCTATGCGTTCGCTGGAAACCTTCCGTCGGTTGCGGGTGGCTCTCTTCCCCCTTGCTTAGCACTATGACTTGCTTTGCTTTGTCCGCCCACTCTCCGGTTGGTCGCTTCGAGGTTTGGAGGCCACTTTTTCGTGCCGGGTTCCTGCTGACGAACGCTATGCTGTTCTGCAGGGCGGAGATGGTTTGCGACGCTCGCAGTAGCAATAGTTCCTTTGCCCCCGTTCAGTGGTCGCGAGAGGAGCAGCGTAAGATTAGCGCAAGGCCCCTTGCTGCTGCACTTGATGCAGGATGCGATTCGGACAGATTGGGGCTAGGCTAGCAGCGAAAGCCTGCAGGTTGAGTTTAATGAAGAATGGAGACGGGGAGCGCTGCGCGGGGTGACGAGAGTTGCTTCTTCCAGAGTCCTGACGAGCCTGTGACGGTCGTGATGCAGGAGGACTGCTAGGATGGGCCGTCGAGAGGGGGGGGGAGAGAGTTGCTCGTGTTGTTTGTGTTTGTTTTGATGTTGCTTCGATGGTATGAAAAGTGGACGGCCACAGCTGGGATATGGACCTTGGGTGGGATTCCAAGTCGCAGAGGCGAATGCTTGGTTGAGTGTGGATTCGGCTGGACTAGGTAGGGGGGATTGGACGCATTAGGCGAGAAGGGATGATGTGCGTCTTATTTCTTCCACTCCTATCTATGTAGGTTGGATTAGGTGGTGCGGTGTGGTTTTCAGGTGTTGGTTGTGTCCGGCGTACGGAAGGCCACCGTAGGTGCGTAGTAGGCAGTCGTTGAGAGAGGGATGATGAGCAAGGTCTCGATGCAATGTATCGGTTTTGTCCGTTCGCGGCCGTGTCTTTGTGTCGGTATGACGATCTCGGTAGTCGTGGCTCTTGGGAGGGGACGGGACGCAGTCGGGGGGGTTGCTTTCTGAGACCCTGGCGGGGCTCGGAGCTTTTTTTCAAAAGGTTATCGAGCCGCAAATTGAACGAGAGCCGTGCCTGGGGTTCATCTGGGCAGCGAGCGAGCATAAGAGCAAGAGAGGATAAAACAAAATAAACCCCTCGAACAAAATGAGCCGCCGGAAATCACCGAACCAAATACTGGTACCTGGGAGCTCCGATGCTGTGCGTCCCGCAGGCGACGGGAAAAGGGCGAGGTCAAACCGCCCTCGACATCGGCTCATCCTACATCCAATTGACTCAGTCGACCGAGTCCTACGTCCAAGTCCAGCTGCGTTCATCCCTGCGGTCCGGCGGCATAGGTGCCTCGCTGCTCATGGCCGTCCACGACCGCGAGTCGACCGATGCTATGACGCCGTCTTTCCCCAAAGTCGAGGGTCGCCTCCATTCCGGACATCTGGATGGGGGGACAAGGCCAGCCACTCGACCAGGACCGACCGTGTGATGCCGAAAGTTTGGGGAAACGGCCACAGCTTCGGCGAAAATGTCCAGGCCAGGGCAGGCCAGGGCAGCTCGGAGGAATGTGCCGCGAGCGGGAGTTGGTCGAACCGCACGCCACATTCCTTGCTTGAAGCGGGCGTCGACACTCATTATCGCGTCCAAGTTACACATTTGAGGCAGAGAGTATCACCACGCCACTGTCCATGTTCTCGATATCCGCCCGCCGGGGGAAGACACAACCCGCCGATGGCTGGCAGAAATCCAGAGCATTCATTCCCCGGAAGGCGTGCTAAGCTTCCCCTACCCTTGCCACTCCGGTGCTCCTTCGCTGCCATTCGCACTGCTAGCCAAGTCTGATTCCATCGTGAAACCCTTCCCCTCTCCACCAAGCGTACCCAAAGTACGCCCTTCCCTTCGTGCACAACATCCGTGGGATATCAACACAACAACAACAAAAACAACTATAACCACAGTGATCGCCAAGGGAAGCTACCAGCCCCCCCTCCCCCTTTCCCGGATCAAGGGAGCCGTCTGCCCCCCAAGCGGTTAACGCCCAAGCACCCGCACATACTCTCCCCTCACCCCCGTCCTCCTCCAAGTGACCAACGCCAGGCCGTTGAATTTACCTTGGTCCTCAGCAGGTTTAAAAAGCCCCGAACGAACTGCCAAGTGCCCAAAGCGCAGAGCTACGACCTCCGGGCCAGAGCACGCGCCTTTGGTTGAGTTGATCCTCTTACCATTGCCCGCGGGCCTCTGCCCTCTTCTCCGCAAAGACCCTGAAGCATTCCAGAAGCTCGAATCCCACGTGGACCGGACGCCCGGCAGGAACGCTACCCCTTCATGTCCTCGCCCACGCGACGGGGCTTGTTTCTTGACCAGAGCCACATCGCCACCGCCGTCAACGAGGAGTCCCCCTCCCTATCACAACCCTGCCAACCACCGTAGCACGAAGCACTGGTCACACGCCAAGCGCTGTCTGTTTTGATTAGATGGAAGAGGGGGCCCGACGTCCCATCACCCGCTTGACGCGCTAGATATCTCTTGCTTCGACTGTCGCTTTGGACGAATGGAACGGAGGGGCTGCTTCGTATGTTTTCTATGGTACCAGCCGGCCGGTTCAAGTTGGCACTTGGTAGGGACTACTTTTGAGTTTGGGCACATCGGACTGGCTGTGTGTCACAATTCTTAATGTCTTCATTATTGGGATTATTACATTACGGCTATCCGGCCTATATTCCCCAAATATTATGCCATGTATCTACCCTCTCCCCTACGCAGCCATAAGCGTGGCCGCCGGGAACAGCGCCGACGTCGCCGTCGTCGCGCAAACACAGCCCTGGCCCGCGACGCTGGTGACCGGCGGGGCGTCGCAGGTCGAGTACGGCTCATGCGCCGCAAACGTTGGGTCCGGCTGCGGCTCGATAATCTCCGCCTTGACGAAGACAGGGATGATCTGGCCCGTTGACAGGCGGAAGGCGCGGTGGTTCAGCGACGCCAGGAGCTTGGTGATCTGGCCCGAGTGGGCCGTGATGCTGACCCAGGTCTTGTCGTCGGTGCGGAAGACGTCGTCGAGGACCTCCTTGGACCGCACCGCCTGCGCGTCGCTCGTCTCGCTCTCGTTGCGGCGCCAGAGCTCGTCGTACTCGGTGAAGCCGGCCTCGAACTCGAAAAAGGGGAACGTCTCCTCGATGTACGTCTTGTTGGAGCGCCAGTTGCACGTGTGCACCGTCATGCCCTCGCGGAAGCCCTCCTTGACGACCGGTACGAAGGGCCTGTCGGCGGGCACCTCGATGTCGCCAAAGGTGATGTTGGCCGTGTAGCCGCAGCGGATCAGCGGGCTGGTGTAGTACGACTCGAAGTAGGGCATCTTCTGGGTCGCGTAGCGGTCCTTGAAGTAGGCGTTGGCCTTGTAGGCCTCGGCCTCGCCGGCCGGCGTCAGGAGCGGGTCGGCCCAGCGCGCAGTGCCGTTGCCGTCTCGCTCGGCCCAGTAGCACTAAAGTCGCGTTAGCCGGTGGGAGTCATTCGGGTGCTTGGGGCAGTCTCACGTTCCAGGCGGGGGTGCCGTAGAATGTCTCGGCGGCGTTGTGCCAACCCTCACCGTGGCGGCCCATGAACAACAGCTTGTACTGGACGCTGTCGCTCTTGCGGCAGCCCGAGTTCAGGTACTGAACCCAGTGCTCGAAACGCTGCCATTGCGTCTTGACGCCTTCGGGGTCGAAGTGTTTGTCGGTCGGGTACGTCCTGTTGAGGAGACCGAAGTTGACCGTCGCCTGCCGGACGCGTTAGTGGGCGTCAACTCATTTCAATGCGGCAGATGTGGACCTACGTAGTCAAAGCCACTCGGGTCGGTGCTGTTGTCGTCCTGCAAGAAGTAGCCAGGGAGAGACGTGTACTTGATGTCCTTTCCCTCGGCCTGAGGCCAGGCGGCGAGCGCAGCGGGCACGAGAGCGAGGATGGTTGAAAACACGAGACCCTTCATCTTGCTGGAGAGCGATCGTCGACGAGATGCGCGGGAGGGCTGGATCTGGGGACAGGTACACTGCAGCGTCGCATGCGGGGGAGAAGCCTCTTGATAAATACCACCACCGATTCCGACGATCTCCGCTTCAGGACCCCATTGTTTTTTTTATCGGCCATTGATGCGCCATGCCGGGCCAATTTACCTAGATCGATATCGGCGAGGCTCAAAGTCGAGATGTCATCCGAAAAAAAATATATAGTACCCGCGGGCCTGGAAAGTTGTTCTGGAGGATGGTGATCCCTGGCGGTGACCAATGGCTGGGCAACCTGGTGTGCACGTGGGCTGCTTTTTGACGGCCGTGTTCGGTATTCCTGGCTGTGGATGAGACCCAACCACGGTTTCTCCGGGTGTTCCTGAGTGCTCTGTCGTCAACTTTGATGGAGGCAGCCAAGACATTTAAAGAGGCTCATCAAGGGGGAAAACGATATTACTGGGGAGACGCCCGCTTGGAGCCGACAATGCTCGGTGAAGATGCCGTTCGAAGCACTTGCTCGGTCTGGGCGCACCACCTCGCGCATCTTCCCACCCTCCGTCGTCATGGCCCAATGATTCAAGGCTTGAGGAAATGAAGTCGGGAAACTCCCGGAAGGAAATAAAGCCTCTTGAGAAATCAGCTGACAAGGGTTCGCGGCTGAGGCGCGTACCAAGAAGCCGGTCAGGAACATGTGCCCATGCATTTTCCGTCCCATGTCCTTTTTTTGTTGGGACGAATTGACAGGTACGCAGGCGACGAGTGGTGGTGAACGGTGGACATGTGAAAGGGGCGGGCACTGGACCAAACTCAGTGCCCGCAACGTCGTCAGTGGAAGGAACCAGAGAGAATAGACCCCGTGGCCGCCGTTGCGTGGCCGGTCCGGCCGCTGGGAGCACGGGTGGGTCTCGGCTATCGCAGTGGCGCTGGAACCTCGCCAATCACGCGGCGCCGCTACGGGGGCGGGACGTCGCGGGCCACCACCACCAGCAGCTCACACACTCATACCGTTGCGCACTACACTGCTGCTCATGTGAAATCCGCCAGTCGGTGAAACGGTCGGGGATATCATCTGCCTTTATTGACGCAACACCAGCAGCTTTACTTTTACCGCAAGGAAGCCCATCTCATTCAGTCGAGCTCCAGGACCCCGCGCAACCGACTCCTCAAAACGTTACCCACCATGGTGAACTCCGACCCTGAGCATCCCCCTGGCGAGCCGGCCCCTGAGATCCTCGAGGAGCGCATCTGGATCGATGGCTGCTTCGACTTTTTCCACCACGGTGAGCTATTGAGCCCATGGTGAACTCGTCCCAGAGCCAGTCTTGCTGATGATCATCGTAGGCCATGCCGGAGCCATCGTGCAAGCCCGCCAGCTGGGCAGCGAGCTGTACATCGGTGTCCACTCCGACGAGGCCATCCTCGAGAACAAGGGCCCGACAGTCATGAACCTGCAAGAGCGGTAGGCTCCCCCGAGCCCACAAGTTGCGCCGTTGTCACTCACATCATCAGCCTGGCCGCCGTCGACGCCTGCCGCTGGGTCACAAAGTCCATCGGCCGGGCCCCCTACGTCACGCAGCTCGAATGGATCAGCCACTACGGCTGCAAGTACGTCGTGCACGGCGACGACATCACCTCGGACGCCGACGGCTACGACTGCTACCGCTTCGTCAAGGAGGCCGGCCGCTTCAAGGTCGTCAAGCGCACCCCGAGCATCTCCACCACCGACCTCGTCGGCCGCATGCTCCTGTGCACAAAGACCCACTTCATCAAGTCCCTCGAGAAGCAGCTCGCCGGCGAGGAGGGCCAGGGCACCTCCGAGGCCGCCATCAAGGCCGAGGCCGAGGCCATGACGGAGCGCATGAAGCTCTACGCCACCGACGAGACGGGCAAGAACCCCGGCGTCGAGGTGTGGTTCTGGTCCGCCTCCGGCGAGGCCAAGGCCGAGGCCGTCGTCGAGGAGAAGGGCGACTTTAGACGGTTCCTGCCCGGCAAGGGCCCGAAGCCTGGCCAGCGCGTCGTCTACGTCGATGGCGGCTTCGACCTGTTCTCCAGCGGACACATTGAGTTCCTGCGCCGGGTGGTTGAGGCCGAGGAGGAGCTGGCCCGCAAGGAAGGATGGTACTCGGAGCAGGCCATCAACGAGCGCGTCGGCAAGGGTGGCGACTACCCGCCCGCGTACGTCGTGGCCGGCATCCACTCGGACGAGGAGATTAACCACTGGAAGGGCATCAACTACCCCATCATGAACATTTACGAGCGCGGACTGTGCGTGTTGCAGTGCAGGGTAGGCATCGACACCCCCATCCCCCCCATACCATGACGAGTGCCGGTGCTAACAGGTCACAGTACGTCAACGCCGTCGTCTTCGGCGCGCCCTTCTCGCCGACCAAGGCCTACCTCACGGCGCTGCCGTGGGGCACCCCGGACGCCGTGTACCACGGCCCCACGGCCTTCATGCCGCTGACGTACGACCCGTACACGGCGCCCAAGGAGATGGGCATCATGCGGGAGGTGGGCGAGCACGAGTTTGCGGGCGTCAACGCCGGCACCATCGTGCAGCGCATCATGAAGAGCCGCGACATGTACGAGGAGCGGCAGCGCAAGAAGGGCATCAAGGCCGAGGGCGAGACCGCGGCGCGGGACCGCGAGATGCTGGAGCAGGAGCAGGCGAGGCGCGAGGCCGAGCGGGCGCGCAAGTGAGGAGGACACGGCGGGCGGCTGGCGTGCGTGCCCTTCATTCGGGGCTGGGGTTTTTTTTTTTTTTTTTTTTTTTGCGGGACTGGCCGCGTTATCAAGTTGGCGCAGGCGATAGCATGGTTTAATTTGGATACCTTTGGGAGCATTCCTCGCGATTGGAGGGCGAGGGCCGGCCTTCAACAGGTCTAGGGCCGGGCGAAGCAGGAAGCACCACATCAGACGACACCGTGGGAATCAGATTTGCAACATCCTCCATCTTTGGTTTGCTGGCTACTGCGTGCCAGGGCTTGGCATGCCGTGCTTGTGTGTGTGTGTATCAGAATCGTAAGCGCAGCAATTGTGTCCGGTGTCACGCCAGACCGCTTCTACCGGATGATGGGCATAGGAGGTGAGATGCCAATTCAAGTTGAGGGTTATAAATGCGGTGTCAGGAATGGCTTTGTGTCAAGCCACGCACAAGTACCCCGCTATTTCATGTCAAGTGACCATGTCAGTGAACAGGCGGTCGCGTCCCCTCATGCTGGCCGGTCCAAGCGCGTAGAGAACGGCAATGTTGTTTCCCCTCTCATGGAGTACGCGGCAGTATGTAGCAATAGGACCGCAGTGGCAGCAGCCACCAGTATTGTAGCTATTGTGTCTGCAACCCAGACACATTTGACACGCGGCACAGCCCAATAGACGCTTATGCAAGAATCCCGCAGAGGCCTGTTCACCGGCAGTCCAGAACGACATTACCAGACTCTTGCTGTTAGACTTGGAGCCTCAACCTAATCAGACGAGAGCCCGTTCTCAGTTACAGTCGAGGATACTTTAATATGCTGTTGCTTTAAATCGTAATACATCTCCAGAACCGTGTGCTTTCTTCGTTCAAGCCGCCCCTTCCGCTCTCGAATGGTTGTTGCTAGAGACACGGAGTATCTTTGCTGCACATCGTATAGAAGCTTACCTTGCAGGGGGAAACAGGACGAAATTATTCTAAGCAGGAAGGTAGGCTGAAGCGTTCAATTGTAACGCCGCCACATCGGTAGTCCTTTGAGCTGTATGCTGGTCTAGGTCCAAAGCGCACAATCGACGAACAAGTGAGACGTGACCGCAGCGGATGCGGATTCCGCGGACGTTGCCAGTCTTCGAGAGGGTCTGGAGGATCACACCTATACTGTCATTCTAACCATTTCGATGCTCGCGGACATGTCGGCGCGCGACATGGTAGTCAGCTTGACCAAGGCAGCGGGCCTCTCGGATGGCTTTAGATTGACAACGAAGCAAGGTAGAGCGGCGCGGTGCTCAACCGTGTCGAAATGGAACAGGGAGCTGAGGAGAGAACCATTTGTCATGATTCACACTGCACCAAATGTCCATTGGTTTCTCATTGCCATGGTGAAACTCCGAGAACACTCCTCTCCTACATTGACCCCACGCACAAGGCACACAGGATCCCGCACGATTGTCTCGCCGCTGCCCCTGTCACTAACCGGCGTCTCAGCGACGCTCCATATAACATTATCATCGGCGTTGATGGTTCATTGGTAAAATCCCCCGTTGCTGTCGAGCAGCGTCGGGGAGCCGGCGGTTAGAACTCCCCTCGGCGCAATCCCTGTTGCTTTTTGGGGGTGCCTCCTTTGCCAAAGAAGTCGGTTTGCGGGCTCTGATCATACATGCACTCACGCCGGCTTGTGCAAGACCATCTATTCATCTTACTCACTTCGCTGTATTCTAACGGGACAAGTGCCATAAGGAAATCACAACGGTTGTAATGGTTGCTGCTACCTAGGCAAATCAACCCAAATCTGCCGATTGCTGAACTGCACTCGAGACCTGTGAGTGTGGGTAACCTGGCCCACGGGGTAGAGGCCACAATATCCCGAGCTCTCCGGCTCCATCTGACGCCAGCAAAGGTTTAACCGTGCTGGGAGTTCATCGCATTGCCAGAAGTTTATTCAAATAGCCAGGGGCAGAATCACTTACTTCCAAGGAGCCTACCCGCTACTCCTTTCCCCTGCAATCGATTCAAGAGATCCAAAGAAGCCCCACATGAAAATTATAGCATCATAGTCTCAGGCAGTTACATACCTAGTATAACTGCTGCTAAAATAGCTACTAGTACAGCCCTGCTGAGGTGGTTTCACTCTGCGTACCTAACCAACAGGACTAGCGAGATTCACTGCAACTAACCCGGCTTCAACTTATTCAAAGCGTGATGTTATATCAACAAGCGTTCAATATAACTAGCGATCGACGTCTCTGATAAGCGGAAAGACTCTCCCTGGAAATCATCGTACTTGTATTTATACTCCTTCAACATCTGCTGCTCTCGTCGCATTGCCACCTCTTCAACACGGGATAAAGGTGTTGAAAGCAATACCAAACAGCCCCTCTGTAATACTATCTAGCCCCAGCATACAGTGTCAAAAGAACCCCAACACTAACCTTGCGCACAACGACCCTCCTGGACCTGCGTCTCTTACTTGCCTCACGTCACCAACCATGAAGGCCGATTTCATTCCAACTCTACTGCTCACCATCCTCGTAGGATCAGGCACAGCGGCCGCTTATTGCCAATATGTGACTGATATCGGCGGCCTAATATGTCAGAGAAAAGGGAAGGGGACAGTCAATGGTGGTGAATGTAGCTTCTTGATTGATTGTGGGAACGACAACTGCACTTGGTCAGGCGAAAACCCACCAGGGTGCATTAAGTCATGTTACATCATGGATGTATGATATCGTAAACAATGGATTTTAAACTCGGCATGTGCCACATTGCGCAATGACCTATTAAACAGCGATTTATATAAGATATATCATCTTATCTAACTTTGTGTGATTTTGATTCGGTCTGACTGCTACTGCTCCTGACGCTTGATAATGTTTGTTAGTAGAATAGCCGATACCAATCAGTCAACAATTGCCCACCTGTCGTTCCCCTGATTGTGTGCTGCCACGCTACCACATACGCTCCTGCGATGGATCCATTGAAAACAACCCTTGGCCTCTTGTTGCTTAACTATTGATTGTTCAGCTGCTTGAAGGAAATGAACTAAACGGATCAAATCGAGGCCTTCAAATCTGTCTATCTGGTAGTGCGAATAGCGACATAAAGCAAGCAAGGTTGTGTGAACGAGCAACTACCTGTTCTATTTTGTCTGGTCATCTTCATTTTCCGCTTATCCTTGCGGCAGATCTACGAGCACGCCAGTGTACCCTCTTGTTGAACCCCCTCTTACAGAAGCAATTCCACGTTCATCCCTGCAAGATCTTGCTGTTTCGGACAAACTCCTTGAAATCCACCAGCTTGTCTTCTAAGATCTCGTGACTCTTCTCTAATCCTTCACCGTTGTAATATCCCGGCTTCTCGTTGAGCAGATGGGTCTCCAGTATCTCTTGCGCGGTATTCAGCGGGATGAAACTCTTGTAGGTCGCTTCGTCCAACTGGATGAGCTGCGTCTTCTTTCCTCCTTCTTTACTGATAATGTCGAGGATTTGGTCTGCCGTATAGTAGCCTTCGGCGCCGAGAATGCGAGCTCCTAGAAGGGAAACCCTTTTTCTAATAATGGCTTTGACGAACTTGCCTGTCAAATAATCAGTAAACAATCTTGTAAGTATCATGAGATTTGTGCAAGATTTTTGTAAGTCATGATACATACCAGTGTCTTTCTTGATGTCAATCAGAGGAAATTTAGCATCCTTTCCGGTTGGAAGTGCCCACGTCAACGTTCCGTCTTCGTCCCTTTGCGTAAACGTCTCCAGATTGCTCATGAAGTATCCTGCCAGAAAGAAGGTCGCTGGTATGCCGCTATCCCGGATGTATTCCTCAACATCAGCCTTGCCATCGAAATGAGGCAGGTGAGTAAGGCGCCCCTTTGACGTTTTAGTGACGTTCACGCTCGATGAGTAGATGAGGTGCTGGACGCCGAGGTCTTTGCACACATCCGCGACATTTTTGCCTTGGGTAACTTCGTCCGTGGTACCGTGGGTTTCCCAGTAGTTTGTGACCAAAAACACTGTATGTGAGTTTTGGACTGCTTTTTGCAGACTTTGTTTTGACATCATGTCCGCCTAAATTGCATCACATTAGCATCAGTAATTGGTTATGGATGTGCTGTGAGAAAAACAGTAAACTCACAACTACCAATTCTACACCCTTCTTCACAAGCTCTTGGGCGGCAGGCTTCGATATGTTGCGGGTGATGCCGCGGATCTTGAACTCTTTGGAGAGTGTAACGTCGGCGAGGATGCTCTCTATGACGGATCCACCTTGGTTGCCCGTGGCGCCAAAGACAGTGATAAGTTTGGACATGTTGAGGGAATAATAGACTGAAACTGGTTTGCTGTGTCTGTGTAGAAAAAGCTAGTTATTTTCATCAATACAACTGCTTTCGACGAAGCTACGTTCTTCTTATACGCACAAGTTCGAGCGGAAGTATACACTCGGCAATAGACCAAGTGGACACTTAGGGAAACCGTGCAGCTTGACTAATCATTGAAAAAACTTACGCGGTACAATGAAGACTAGTTCGAGTCTAATGCCGAGTCCGATTCCAAGCTGAGACCCGATTTTAATCCTCTGGTCTTATCCCGAATCTAATTCCGAGTAAATAAGAAAGAACTAGCGGAATTAAAAGGGTACTAATGCCCCGAATTATGGATATTCTAGACCCAGCCAATCAGGCGATATCATGCATTTCTAAGCTCTTTACATTTTCATTATACAAACAGTTTCAAGATAGAGGAACCTCATATAGGCATCTAACTTAAAATCACAATACAAATATCCCTTGCTCCCACCTTTGATCAATGTAGCCTGTTGCTACCGTGAGTGTTTTATCCACCCCATTCCAAAGCTACGTTAATTCACACAATATTATTATGGCACCAACACAATCCCAAAAAAGAGCCGTAGAGCTCGCACATGGCAACCTCTTCGACGTCTTTGGCAACTACGACACTGTTTCGCGCCACAAAGCAATTGCATCACTGTACCATGAGAGTGCCGTCATCTATGAGCCCCATGGCGTAATCATCAAAGGACACGATGCTATCGACAAACACATTCAGGGGTTGCTCGAGAACAATGCGGGTTGGGAGTTCAAGACAGTTGGGCCGGTGAAGCAGGTACAAGACCTCGTGTCTATTGCATGGACGTTCGGGCCCAATGGGAACCCGATTCTGGAGGGCGCGGATCATATCATCGTAGAGAATGGGAAAATCAAGGCCGTCTATGTAGTACTAGGGGACCAGGCCGACATTAAGTCCTAGTTGTTTAGGTGAACGGGAAAAGGTGGGAGTAAAGTATTGTTTAAGGGGAGATCACTGTCGAATTAATAACCCTGTCTTTCTAAATGGCGTCCTTTAAATAACATCAATTCCTTCGGCGACTGGCTTCAGGGCTAGCCTGTTGACCTGCTAGCCAGCAACCCTCAGTATCCAATCATCACTACCGGCAGCCCTGGTATAAGGTTCTGATTCCTTTCTTTCATCCAGGCGAAGTCGCTACCTTCAAGCCGGAAGGCTCTGTGCCACCCAGTGAAGGAAGCATCTTTATTAGCAAGCAGCAACGCACCGCAGAAGAACAAACCACGCGCAGAAGCGGCAACTTGCATCTTTTTAGAATACATCCTAGTTGAGTATCGCATCAACAGCATATAACTATGTGAAAACGATGGTATCTATAGTAAGAAGAGGTACTGGTCTATTGATACTTATATGTGTTTTATATGTATGTATTAAACGACTCTTCTCTAAAGAGATTTTCTTTGAACCTGCTCTACTATCATAGAGACAAAAGAGTTCTATTACTTGCTTCTGTGATTTTCATTTTTGTTTAGTCTGTGGTCACTATATGCATCAAGCTCTTAGCAACACTTATTTATAGAACTGTATATTAGATCAACGTCTGTGTCCAGATTGAATTCTGTGAATCTATCCTTACCTCCACACTTAATTCTGTTGTTGTTGGATTAGAGATTTGCACGCATTCCTACGTATCCAAGCGGCAATGCCACCTGTACATTAGTCAGCAGGATCCAGCCTATGTAAGGGCCAGATCTGCCAGATGTCGAGGACTTAGAACATTTTCGGCAACAAATACATTGACGGTCAACCCCCTATTATCGTGTACCTCCAGCAGCGCGCGAGCTATTCCGATAAAAATCTTTTTATTAGGGGTGAACCAAAGATGTATTTTCCGTGATTGTCTTCCTAACTACAAGACTTGGCTTTCGTACACGAGATATATGATCTCGTACGTCCCTGAGTCAGTTCGGCATGAATATACGTTGATCCCCTCAATGGATAACCGAGGGCCGAATATCCAGTCTGTGCCCTCTGCCATGTTGTGTGTCCTTGAGTCGTGCGTGTCGTACAACCAGCCGGTGCTGTTATTCCAACAGTTGTCTAAGAAATCTAAGCTAAAACAGGTTTAAAGGCTAGCTTTGAGCTAGTGAAAGCCATTTTTAAGGTGATTCAGGCACCGGGTTGAACGTTAGATGCCCCAAGTCTGATCTACTGTAGTTTCTTAAGCAGGCCATTCAGCGTGCTAATGGCATACTCTTGTGATGTAGACTTTGTAGACCTAAAAACTGGCCACTTCCTATTGAAAAATGCAGGGCCCGGGGAACAAATCAGGAATTGGGAGGATAAGAAGAGGGAAGAGGCTTCGTTAGACCCGACCACAATATACAGTAAAAACCGGTTTCCTTTTCTTTGCTTGATACGCCATTGTATGCGGATGAACTGATCTGTTTTACTAGCAGACTGAAGTTGTATAAAAGTCAAGGTACAATTCCCGGATTTCAGAACTACTAGGGTCCCGCCACACAAAGGCCCATCAGCAGCTAGTGCCGAATTACTCCTCCTCAAATCCCACCAACTCATTCGACTTGTCCCAAAGCTTGCTTGCGCTTTCTTCATCATAAGCCCAGGCGGCATGTCCAGACGCCCCTTCCTGCCACTTCTTGCCGACCGGAATCGGAGGATCCACAGCACAGTTGTTGAGATACTTTCCGCCTCGGCCTTCCCAATCCTCGCTCAAAGCAGCATAAATGGTCGTAGCCGCTCCCTGAGGCACGCTCTTGAGCGCGTTTTTGTCATCCTCAGTCATCGATGCAACCCAAGCTGTCGTGTCCATGTGATTGGTTAGGTTGGTAAAGATTACACCCGGGTGTAAGGAAAGGGCGTGCAATCCTTCCGAACCATAACGCCTCTCGACCTCGTTAGCAAAGTAGATGTTTGCTGTTTTGGATTGACCATAAGCGATCCAAGGGTTGTAAGGTTCTTTCTCAAAGTTGATATCATGAAACCGAATGCCGCTGTCGTTGTGCGCAATTGAAGAGATGGCAACCACGCGAGAATGGAAAGAAGGCGCTGTGCCCGCAAGGAGTGCAGGCTTCAACAGCTGGAAGAGCAGAAAGTGGCCCAGGTGGTTGGTGCCGAACTGAAGCTCGAAGCCATCTTCGGTCTTTCCCTCGGGCGTACACATGATGCCGGCGTTCAAAATAAGTAGATTTAGTTTGCTGGTCTTCTCGAGGAAAGCCTTAGCAGCCGCGCGCACGGACTTGAGAGAATCCAAGCGTAACTCAAGTGCGTGAATAGGTGCGCCAGACTTGCCGCCATCGCTTCCCAAGACGTCATCGATAGCTTTCTGAGCCTTGGTCGAGTCTCTAGCAGTGATGAAGAGTGTAGTCCCAGCCGCATGAAGAGCTCGAGCTGTCTCAAGACCAATGCCGGAGTTGGCGCCCGTCACGAGAGCGACCTTGTCCGTGAGCTTATCAACAAGCCCTTCGTCCTCAACAATTTGGAGCGCAGTAGGTCGAAGATCCCCGGGGCCCTTAGGCTTAGCATAGGCGGTAGCGTATCTAGACATTGCAGGGTGGTGTTGTTTTTGTAAGTTCCTGTAAGAAACCTTGCTTGAGGCAATTGAGAATTCTGAAGTTGTAATGAAAAGTAGTATTGAATGGGTTTCTTCGATGTTATGTTAGAGAGCGAACGACTTTTACTTATATCTTGGAAGATGGGATGGTGTTCATTGTGTGAGCAGTGTTGCCCGTGAATACACGGCGAAAGATAACGAGTCGGGGGAACTAATGCTTGATTGATAATCAGAACAGCCTCGGGGAAATAGTTGGCTGCTTATGAAGATTGTTTATTGGAACCATCGCTCGGCGTATACGTACATGTTGGAAGTCTTGATCCGATTCTTAGGTCCACTTGCGGGGTTCAAAAGTTAGGGTGACAGATTTGTCACAGGCACCGCTGGAAGATTCTGATCAGCCTTGGAAATGCGGTTTATAGTGCAGTATAGTACGGTGCCAACATTATTAATGCTGTTTTCAAATACCCTTCAGCATCCATGCATTTAACCGCTGGCGTTCGGCCTCCAGAATAGACCGCGAGTGGGGGTGGTAAGGTTAAGCATCTTTGCCGGTAATGAATTATGGCACACTGCATGATCGGTCCTTAGGATGCTGCCTACGTAGTCTCAACTTACTTTGTGACCATGCAGTTAGGAGTATGATATTCGGTACCTTTCTATTACAAAGTATCAATCAGCAACGAAGACGTTTATTTCTAAACTTAGATGAAACTTGCCGGCCCCTTAAACTTCGACCAAAGCCAAGCGGTCGCGAGTTGGCGTACAAGGAGACAATATTACGGCTCCACACAGAATATTTCTCGGCCACTTCAATAGCTTTTCCCATTCATCTCCGAGGACCTCAATAACGTGTTCAAGCAAAACCCTTGGCCAGTTCCGAGTGCACCAGTGCCCTTTTTTGAAGCTCATCAAGACCGAAAAGTGAGCCAGGATGACGAGAGCTAAGGCATCACCCTCCGAACACAAGTCCAGGAAGGCCTCGCGCACCTCAAGTCCCCAGCTCCAAACCGTCATGATCTGTCCGGGGTCTTCGGGGGTACTTAAGAGCGTTGCAATTTTGTGGAACAGTAATCTAACGGCATGGAGGCATGCCGACCTCTGTCTTCCGTCAAACCGATACCCAATGCAATCTTCAAGCAGTGCTAGCTGCGGAAACCTCGCTTTGAGATCTTCCGTGACTTCTTGCTTACCGGCCCCAAAGTTACTCAGAAGCCACGCGTCCGAGGTTACCAGTGAAGCAAAGTTTTGTTGAATAAAGGCCCTGGTACATCTGTTGAACCGGATTCCATGGATGAGCTCCTGGACGGGGTTGAACTGGGTCTGGAGGGAAAGTACGCGAGCGGGGCGCAAGACAGGCTCTGCTGCCGCATACATTGAGGTGAAAGCGGAGAATCCCACCAAGGCTCGATATTGTGTCTCGTCAAGAACCTGGAAGTGTGGCCTGGCCCGGCTAATTCCGGCCTGCTGATGGGCAATGGCCCGAGTATACCACTTAGTCTGGGTTCGATCTTCGCTGAAGAGTTGGAGGGATGCAATAGCAAGTATGCTGTTTAGCAAGTAGTGGTGAGAGAAGCCTAGACGGACAAAGTCGTGTTGCATATTCCTTATGGTATCTGAATGTTCGTCTGTGACAGGATGCTGGTGCCAGTATTCCAGCAGCTCGAGATCAGCCAGACTATCTTCATTGAGCGGTGTGGTTGTTAAGCGGGGAGACGAAAAGCTACACGAGATGTTTACCCGCTTACAACTACCACATTGAGGATGGACCTCATTGCACTTAGGGTGGTCAGCTCTAGCACAAAACGTAACCAGTAGTGGCCCCTGAAAAAGCTCCGTACCTTGTAGTGCCGCTCTTTGCATTGCACACAGCCTTCCCGAGACTTAATATGCGCTTTACGCTTTCTCATCATATTTGTGAAGGGAAGGCAGCTCAGGGAGGGTAAAGCTGGATCGTGTATGGTAGACGTCAGAGGTCTTAACTTAAGGTGCCGTATCAATACGGTGATTGATTAACTGTAGCGGATGCGATGAGTTTAAATTGTGCTCCGCTACCTACTAGTCTGGATCCATGTGATCGACTTGGCTTTAGCTATGTGGGCCTTGACCGTATTGATACGGCTAGCGTTGCTCTGCTTCTAGGACAATTTGAAACCTTGAACTATTCAGTGGCCCCCAACCTTACACTGACTCATGAATGTTTCCACAGTATATGATTGGAGTAGCGGCGCCAAGCCATACCGGAACAACCCTGATGTGCCCCAATGTTTACGGACATTGTTATTGATTAGCGAGCTTGTAGATAAACCTAATACGTCGTTAATCACACACTACGTACATATAGCCGGCGCTACCAGTAAACTGGGTAGATACCGCTGTTTTCACGCATCTACTGTCCAGAGGAACGGGTCCCTGCTGACTAAGGAGGGAGAACAACAGGGGAGCACCCTGTAGCTTCCTTTTGTTCATGGCTGTTGGAAGAGGGGGAGCACAGCCCGGTTAGCCTCAGCCTGGAAGGTGGGGCCAGCCACTCAGCAACAACGAGGGGCATACCCACTTCACCTTGCTGCTGACCGTGCAGTTAGATCTCCCATCTTCATACACAATACAACTAGCAATATCACCACTTTTGACGTGATCGTTGCTATCGACTCGTACGAGTATCACCGCTTGTGAGACCAAAATCGATCAATACATGTAGGATTAATGACTTGATTACTAATATTTGCTATATAATAATGATAAGAATGATGACGATAGCGCGACCAGCGACGAGAGTAATGATAATTAGATGGTCATTGGTTAGGATGCATATAGTAGTGCCACCCATGGATTGTTCTCTTATTATTTTTTGTGTCCAAGCATGTTAGTACCCTCAGAATGTCAACATTTGGATGAAGGTTAAAGGCTTTCTTCGTAGCCTCAAATCCTAACGGACCTACCCGCGCGCTATCGGTACGAATGACAACGTTCACATGATCCCAAATTATAGGGATTGTTGCTAAAGAAATCGTCTTCCTTCTCATCATGTCGGACTCTGTGTTTTACAAATCTGTTTGCGGTCGAAAGAGGGTTTCTTGTGTGTTAATCGAGGCATTTTAACTGGCAACTTTCATAAGGGGCCTAAGATGGTGACCTACATGACAGGTCCTGATTGCATGTGTTGAAGTAGAATAAAACGAAGGTGAGACAGATAGGCAGGCGGTTGCCTAAATCGGGGCATGCCTGTTTGCCAATGGAGTTAATATGAAACCCCTTTACGGGCACGTTGACCCGCGACCCGTCACTGGATGTGGAAACCCGTGATATCGAATTGCACCAATTGGACTGGATGTTTCACAGCTCAACCGGTGGGATCAGAACATCTTCGAGCTCACTCTGCGAAGCCCGCCTCTGAAATAGGGGAGGCAGTCACCTTGGAGTACCTTCCGCCCTGAACGCTGCCTCTCTCTTCATCTCTGTGCATAGCTGAGGCAACTGGCTAAGTCGCTTAAGAGGAAAATGCAGTCTTCCGTCTCTTGCAGAGGTTGGATACTACCTTCGCCGACTTCTGGCTCACTTTCGACCGCTGTCAGGTTCTGGTTTCGAAACTTGCTTCCTCTAAGGTTGAGAAATCTGAGTTCGATAGGAGCAGAGAGGCTGCAACTGCCACCGATGTTGCGGCCAGTGTTACGGTTTGAATCTTGCGAGCAGTCAAAATCACGCATGAAGATGATATTAACAGCCGGGAGACATACATCAATAATGCCTATGCTCGATTCCGCTATGCTACTAGTGCGGTTAGTTCCTGCAACGGTCTAGAAGCAGCAAACAAGGGACTGGAACACATACCCAAGCAAATTGAAGCGAATGAAGTTCACCGGCTCGTCATCGGATCTCTGTAGCTGCACTACTAAAATCATATGGACGATGCTTGCTGCTGTGGCGAGTCCTCCTACACTGAGCATGATCATGACCTTGAGGCGCCTGGCCCACAATATCTTGGGAGTCATTGCGACAGAGATAGGTATGAACAGGACCGCTAAATCTGTGACGGCGCTCATGGCAGTATCGGCGACGGATATCGCACGTCGTTTAAGACATGTTGCCTCTATCGTTGAGTCCCAAAACCTTGCTATTGGTCAGCAAATGAACGTTTTAAGAAAAAAAGACTGGTAGGTAATAGCTAATCACAAAGACAATGATAAACGTTCCAAACGCCGTTTTCCCATGTAACCGGAAGACGCGAAGAATGAAGAGAAGAAGAGCAAGCTTCATGAAGTAAGAGTTAGGACCGTACACAAGGGTGTCGGCGTACAACTCTGAAGAGGATGCCAGCTCAAAACTCTTTTCTCCGTGAGGAAAACGCTATTCACCTTCTCGAACCCGATAATTTCCTCTTTTGAGATCTCATATATGTAAAACGACCACCACAATGATGCACTATATGTACCATCCGTCAGTAGAAGAAGTAATCCTGGGTGTTGCTTGTTACTCACGAGCGCCGTGACACCATAAGCAAGATATAGTACCTGCTGAAGCATGAGTCCTCGTAATTCATCGGCGGTTGGCTTCTAGGTCTCCTACCCAAGTCACCATGGACGCCCCTAAAGGATCATCGATTTGCCGATTTATGAATTGCCTAGAGGCATGTGCGAGAGCCCACAATCATCCTTGTGGAAAGGGGGAGCAATAACGTCTTCACGTACAGACGCAAAAACATGAACAGGCTGACCGATGTGGGAACCTGTGACACAAGATTGATCGTTTGTAAAACATCGGTGGGATGCTGTAAATTGGGCGCTACGCCTTCTGGCGGGAGGACAGCCCCCTCCTGATTAGACATATCTTATCGAATACCGGAGAATGTGGGTTAGCCGGTAATACTAATGATGGCTGGATTCGGAGCGAAGACGGGCACGGTATAATTATTTAGCAGATGAAGAATCGCTGGCAAATAAGTCATGTCATTGAGGCGAGTCTCGGAGAAATGATATTTTGATGTGAGTGTACGTGAAATTGTGCGGGAAGAGATTCCTGTTGACTGCAGTTTTGTGGAATCTAGGGGAGCTTCTAGCTTATGTTTCTATGGGCAAACATGGACCGCGAGAGTTGGCTATAAAATACAGAGCAAACATGGCTAGATCTAGAGAAATTAATGTTGACTGGCAACTTCAGAGGAGAAAGTCTTTCATGATGCGCTGAAACACGAAACGTGGGGTGTAGCATCGGCTTTTCGAACTTCGCGGGACCTAACGCCCGCACTTGATAGTGTAGCTTGTGCACGGAACAGGCATTTTTTAGCGTAGGCTGTAGAAACTTGCTAAGAAAAGATACGCAATGTGGTTGGTGGCTGGAGATTACCGGACGGTCGACCGTATCTGCCGTATGGACCAAGTTGACACTTGTGGAAAACGCAGAGAATAACTACTGCTGTCCCTTGCGAAGTAAAACAACGGCTAGTAGAGGGGCGGTATGAGGTTTGAGGACTGGGCGAAGAATTACTTTGGACGACTGCAAGGCGAAATTAGTGCGTCGACGTCATAGTCCAATAGGCTGACCTTGTAGAACTTGTGACGTTGGTTAAAATGCGAAAGGAGTTCTGCGAGGACGTTACCACAACCCTGCCATAGAAGATATGGGACTCCTCTAAAAGAGGATCTAAAACTATAACATTACTGAAATCTTCAAATATAGCTGGTGTCACAACTCACTCGCAGCGCGTGGCATCAGTAGGGTACAGGCAACATAAAATTCGCAGCGCGTATGTACTTTGATACATGTCGGATATTGATGGCGATCTAGATGCAGCCAAGCTCTTGGAGACCATGTTCTACACGCACTCAGGGTCAATGTCACTAATCCGCATTCTGAACTTACACAGCCTCTGCAACTCGAAAGGTAGGCGATCCTGGGTGAAATTATATGGTTTCAAGTCATCTGATAAAGTCGAGTTGAGTGGCAGCCTTACTGAACAGGTTCTTTAAAGCTTTGAAGAATCTTTGTCTGTCTAAAGAATTTGGTTTTCTGCTAGAGTAGGATAATCCGGTATTCCCGTACTGAGTTAAGTTAGTGCTGTATCTGAGAATGCGTGGATTCTTTCTTGATCCCTGCGAGAAATGACGTGCTCAGACAAAATATTATGGTCTGGGTCACCAAGTGGAACTCGGAAATGTGTTAATGGTCGCGTTGTCCTTCTCTAGAGATCGAAAGCTGGTCAAGAGTTCAGGACGAAGGTCAGTAAGGAGAGTGACTTCCTCAGTACTAGATGTCAATATTCCAGTATCAGAAAAGCTAGCACAGGATGTTGCAGAAGCATGGGCGCGGACACCTTGGCGTTAGAATACGGCAATTCATCGTCGAGAACGTATAAGGTATACGTATGTCAACGCAGAAATCGCATCGTCTCTGCTTATCGGACGTATATAGGGATGAGGGTGGGGAAGGACCCAGGCCAGCAATCAGGAGCACACCAAAGCAAAACTCCTTGGGCATTACGTGCTTACTGTAGTTGTGTACCGCAATACTGCCTGACCTGACGTCTTAATTCCTTCGCGATGGTAGCCCGCAACTCTACATCCTACACCCCGAACTTCGGAGTGTTGATAAGACAAAGCTATTGCAATGCCCGATTTCCAATCACCGAGCACAGCTATATACCAGTGGAGCAGGCGCATTCGCAATATCGGACATTCCCGGTTCAAACCCCGGGCCCCATTTCGACGGGGCCGCCTTGAGTTGAATCGAATCAGAGGTTAAGCTTAATTCCATATCGCGATAGTGACTGTTCTACGGGTTCAAATATATCAAGAACCTCGGTGTTTGCGTTGTTCTTTTCTTGCTCTCGGTCTGTTTCCGGCTGGAATCTCGATTGCAATGGTTCCTCCTGCCTTGATTTTCGTTCTCATCTGGACTGATAAAATTACGTCAAAGCATTCCGAGATACGGTGACTTCTTAATCTCTACTAGGGGTCCTATGCTCGCTGTGTTTGTATAAAGTTCTAATGAGAAAACGGGTTCGGACCATAATGAGTCCTGACAGTCTCCCCGGCCGCATACCTAACACTACAAATCTCATCCCGAAAATCATCTTTTGGGCTTCTGCCACAAGATGTTCACCCTCCAACGATCCATTCTGGCACTTGCCGCCATTCGCGGCGTGTTCTCCGCATCTCTGCTCGGTAAGAATGGTACCGTCGACCGCTCGAATCTCACTGTCGCCTTGATCAGGGCGCCTCCGCCCAACTGGTCGCTCCCAATTACCAACTACGACTACACGGGCATCACTTTCAACATCAGCGAGGCTGTCGACTCCGGTATCAAGCTGATTAATGAGGCTAAGTACCAGGGATCGGATCTCGTCGTCTTCCCGGAGCTGTGGTTCCCCGGGTACGTTTCCTTCTGGGGCTAGCTGTCTTGTCTCGCAAACACCATCTCTCTGTCCAGTTGTAGCATCAAGTATAACGACTAATATGTTGATGAACAGGTTTCCCAAGGGATCGGACAGCCATTACAACTTCACTCGTGATTACCTCCCCTCATATATCGACAACGCCATTGTACTTGGCGATGCACAGTGGAATCGACTGATCGAAGCCATTCGGATGGCTCGCATCTACGCCAACCTCAATTTTGCAGAGGTCGATGGGGACTTCATGTACATGTCGCAAGCGCTGGTAGACCCCAGAGGACAGGTGCTGCACCATCGTCGCAAGCTTCGCCCATCAGGTGCAGAGAGGTATTTCTTCAGCGACGGAACAACGGATGGTCTCAAAGTCGTGCAGACCGACTACGGTCGATGGGGCATGCTGGAATGCGGAGAGTAAGTCCGACACTCTGTCCAAACTCGCAACAGAATCATGGTCTAGAATTGAAAGCTGACCGATCCGACACCCCCAAGGCATTTCTACCCTAGCATGACCTTCAACATGTACGTTCAACGAGAGCACGTACACCTGGCTCCGTTCCCTTACCTCGCTGGCACCGAAGACGACACCTCGCTCTGGTGGGAGAACGAGTGGATCAACACGGGCGCCGTCGGCGTCTACTCTGTCCTCAGCGGCGCCTACTCCTTCGTACCGGCAATTGGCGCCTCCTTCGTCACGGATCCCTTCGGCACTCGGGTAGCTCACATTAGTGCCAACGCCAGTTTCGATGAACACCCGATGCTGTACTATAGCTTCAACGCAAGTGGGTTTAATGACTCAGTCACGTACAATATTGACGGGCAGGCGTCGTGGGGAACACTGAGCCAAATAGTGGACAGTTTCCCGCAGGGAGTCCCGAAAGTAAAAGGTGACTTTGTCAAACATAAGAGCAACTCGATCGAGTACCTGAGGTCTGGACAGCTCATCATCCCGTCCTCCTAATAAAGAGCAGAAGATAAGTACGCGGAGAACTGGACTCCTGAAGCCCGTCAATGGTATAAAAAGGGATTGCAGATTCTATCTTTGGCAATGTGCCAGTGGCGAAACCAAGGACGGTCTCTTGTGGTGGAAGGGACAATAGGTTCAATCTCTATTCCACATAAGGTAACATGAAGGACACAACTACCTGATCACTCAGTAACCTAAATCATATCCAGAGCCACCAGAATTGTGCAACGTGACTGTTGAGATAATCATGGCAGTCAACGCCGCAATTATCTAGAAGATATCTGTCGGCATCATTTTGATTTGGTGAATGAGCCTAAACTCGTGATCAGGTGCTATGAAGACCATGCGCTACTAAGATCGCTGTTTCGAAGACTGCAATCGTGCGTCAAGTGTATGGAGTCCTCAAAGTGCGGTAGGGCCCTGATCATGCCAGCAACGAGCCGGAGATCCACAGTCTTTCTCTTCTTTTCCTCATCTTACAACACTTGTAGTCGCCATAGCTAGTTGCAAATACACTTGTCTTGGACAGTTACAACGGCAGAATAATGCGAGAAGATTGTATGCCAGTTAAAGGACAATAAAAATCTATTGGGCACATGGGAACACCATAAGTTTTCGATTCTTTGGAAGCATGTCGAAGTTTTAAAATAGAAATGTTAGTGTTAACTAGCTATAGGACAAAAGCTAAGCTTGTGGTCAGGCTCTGCAAACGTCTAGCTATTAATAGATTCAAGTTTTGCGTGAAGTTACTAGAAGAGCTTTAAGTAAAAGTGTCTTAAGTTACTTGAGCTGTGAGCTTCTTATGACCTTAGCAGTAGGCTGTAATGAGGCTATTGCTAGTTTATTAGCCACGCTGTTGCGTGATCCAAACTGCAAAGTTTTCATGACCTTAGTAGCAGTTGCAATAAAGCCATCGCTAGTACGTTAGTTGTACCATAGTGTTAGATTCAGTGAGGTTGTCGTCAGTCACGCTTATGGGGCTAGACAATAACTGTATACATAATGATGTGAGAGGGGCTGATGCAAGAAGATCAAGATAGGTGCCATCTGGAAACAGGGACATGGCCCCACATGCCACTGATATACCTATGGTTGTGAACTGATAGCAAAATGACAGGCATGTTGTTCAGTAGGCGTAAGCCGGGCAAATGGGGGAGCAGCCCCCGTCAAGGCAAGATGAAAATCGTGATCTCGATCATGGCTGGAAGGATGCGCAGAGGGGGGCCACACGCTGCACACCGTGGAAAGAGACCCGTGCGTCCGGCGCAAAAGCCTGCATTGCATACACGCACGTCGAGGTTTCTAGGGGCTGACGGCATGCAGAGCTGTGGTACATAGAGCGCCAGGAGACGCAGCACCTGTCCCCAATGGTTACACTCGGCACTTTCTCCAATCTTGCCTGCGCCAGCCGATCCAATGTTCGAGAAAGAATCTGTTGGAGAGATGACGGGGGGAAGGATGGGAAAGAGGGTGGAGAAGCATGCCGTTGGGGTACGACATACCTGGCCATTGGGACATCGCTAAGGCCGGCTCGGGTGTGTGGGTGGTTGATTCCTTCCTTCCTTCCTCTCTCCTTCCTCGAGCGAATGCTTGGGCAATGCGTGTGTGGTCAATTGGTTCTCCCCCACGTCATCGCCTAGACTCGGCTATCGTCGGGAGGGGTAACACTCAATCCCGAAGAGGGAAGGAAGGAGATAGCGATAACGCCTGCCTCCAATTCCGCCCTTTGACAATTGTGGAGTGGAAAGGGCGAGGGGAGGATCCTGCAACTTTTTGGCGGGGCGAACCTGTCAAGGTTCCAGGTTGTCGCAATCTCACACTCTCGGGTTTGTCGCAGCGTCTCTGTGGTCTTCCTCTACCATCTGCTGCATAGGTAGGTAACGACGCCCTTGGATCCTTGGCAACACGACTCCAATCACGGATTCCGCTTTTTTCGTTGTACTCGCTAGCCGCGAGAAGCAGCGAGGTCCCATTGTCCGGGCAGGCAACGCCATCAGCCACGTTGACTTCGGTCGACATCACCTCCATTGACTCGTTCAACCGCATCTGCACCCTGTCGACATGACGATGAAAGGGCGAAAAGGGCGTGCTCGACAGGGCGATGGAAGGGCGAAAAGGGCGCGCTTGACAGAGCGATGTCGGTCCTATTTGTCTTTCGTCCTTGACGATAAGCCGCCTGTCTGCATCCGGCCCGATCTTGTCGGTAACATCGGCCGCTGCGTCGGCTACGCATTGTTGAACGGGGGACATCGACACCTCAATTCAAGTGCAGCCTGTTGGCCTTTGGTCTTCCCATGTCTGGCGCAGGCGCAACCCCCGTCGGCTTCGGACCGCGCGCACCAAAGCCGCAATGGGGCAGGAGAACGTCGACCGACTCGAGCCGTGCCCGGCCGACGGCTTGTGGTGGGACAAACCAAGCTGCGCGTCCGCCCTGCAGTGTGCAATGTACCTGGCGCCCCATTGACTAATCCTCGACGAATGGGCAGCCGCGGCTTGACCTCTTGTTTCGTCACAGATTTTAATTTTTCGGAGTGTGCTTGCTGGGCTTCAGACGCAGATGCAGCAGCGTATGGCCGTCGCAAGGTGGGATGGCCCCGGCTCTAGCGGGTAGCTGTGGAATCGGCTTCTTGTTTCGGGCTTTTCTCTTTCTTTCCTTCGCCGTCATCCTCGGCTCGCCTCTGCCTTATCTCTGGATACTGGCCTGTCCGGGTTGGGTGGTGGGGACTTTCGAGGAAGAAAATTCCTTTCTTCGATCCAGGAATGGACGTCGATTCGACCATGACCAAAGCACCGGCAGAGTAGGGGCAGAGAGATGAGATGAGATGTGAGAGAAAATTCCATCCCAAATCTGCTGCCACGCCGCTTCAGAAGTGCTCACGCGGTGACGGATCCCGGCCGGGATCCACTTTGCAAGTACTCGGGCTCGGCATGGGCATCCCACGATCATCGATGGCCCTTTGACATTGGACTCAACGGCACACATTCCTCCTTCCCTCCCTGAGAGTGTCAGCTGGGCTACACACAAAGGCGATGAACCAAAATTCCAGCTGGATCGCGGCGTTTGGCCGCTTTACCGAATGTGGAACCCGAGCAAGCGACGGCATACACCGCACAAAAACTACGAAAAGCCGCCATGTACGGAGTAGCGTACCCGCCGTCTTGGCTTGGAAAACGACCATGACTAGGACATGGAGCAGTCTCTGAACCCGTTGGCGCCGGTCTGCTGGCCTCCTTCATTATTTTTTCTCTTTCTTACACGCATCTGGACTGGCGACCAACCAACCCAGCAGCCAACCCGAGACCAGACTGCTCCTCCCCTTACCCTTCCCACCCCGTCCCCATCCATGCTCCATGCACTGCAGGCCAAATTCTCCATGATGTTCCCTGTTCTCTGAAAACGTCCCTACCAAGACCGGACCCGCCGCCCCTCTGCATTGGCCATTGAGTCACCTGCTCCATCTGTCACTAGAACCTTGGGCCAAGCCAAGCGTGACAAACCGTTGTACTTAAGCTCTGGCATTCACTCCTTCAAGTGATCCCCGTGGCTTTGTCCTCTTGTTCTCCCCCCTTAAGCCGAACATCGTCCACCCTTCTTCTCTTTCGCACAACCATTTACTCGTGTGTTCAATCCAACTCGTGCTACTTGCCACTTCGCCTAGCTGACCATTCAGTGATCCTTCCCGCTCCTCCGTCTGAGATATCCAAGACATATCTCCCATCGGCGCAACCACACACCATTATCTCGAACAAACCTACACAGCACCACCATGGCTCCCGGCACCATCTCCCCCGGCCTCCACCACGGCAATCAAGACGTCGACCTGACTTCCTCTGCCATTGAGCACAAGCTCGAGGCCATTCCCAATGGCAAGAGCACCAACGGCGCTGCCAACGGCAAGCCCGTGTACCACGAACTTGACGCCTCCAAGCTCATCTACAACCGCACCAAGAACCCCCGCGAAGTTCCCGACCTGGCCAGCGCCGACGCCGGCCCCGAGACCATCGCCACTGACCACATGATCGCCGCGACATGGAAGGCCGGCGCTGGCTGGTCCAACCCGGAGCTCAAGCCCTACGGCCCCATTTCTCTCATGCCCACCGCCTCTGTCCTGCACTACGCTACTGAGTGCTTCGAGGGTCTCAAGGTCTTCCGCGGCTTCGACGGCGCCCTCCGTCTCTTCCGTCCCGACCGCAACTGCGAGCGCATGCTCATGTCCTCCACCCGTATCGCCCTGCCCGGCTTCCCTCCCGCAGAACTCGAGAAGCTCATCATTGCCCTCATGGCCGTCGATGGCCCCAAGTGGCTCCCCCGCGACCGCCCCGGCTCCTTCCTCTACCTCCGTCCCACCATGATTGGAACCCAGCCTCAGCTCGGTGTTCAGGCCCCCTCTGAGGCCATGCTCTACATCATCTGCACTTTCATGCCCGTCATGGACTCCCCCGTCGGCGGCATGAAGCTCCACACGAGCCCCGAGGATATGGTCCGCGCCTGGGTTGGCGGTTTTGGTTACGCCAAGGTCGGCGCCAACTACGGTCCCTCTCTCCTCGCCACCGCCGAGGCCCGCAGCCGCGGTTTCGGCCAGATTCTCTGGCTGTACGGACAGGAACAGTACTGCACCGAGGCTGGCGCCAGCAACTTCTTCGTCGTGTGGAAGAACAAGGAGACCGGCAAGACCGAGATCATCACCGCCCCTCTCGACGACCGGCTGATTCTGGACGGTGTCACTAGACGCAGTGTCTTGCAGCTTGCCCGCGAGCGTCTCGGCGGCGACGTCGACGTTGTTGAGCGGAGATACACCATCAATGACGTCATTGAGGCCTATGATGAGGGCCGTATTGTCGAGTCTTTTGCGGCTGGCACTGCTGTAAGTCGCCCCGTCCCATTTTCGTTATTATCAAACGGCTGACTAACTCGTGAGCAGTTCTTCGTCTGCCCCATCTCCATCATCCACCACCGCGGCAAGGACGTTAATATGAGCATGGGCAGCGACGGC